TCAGGAACGTTGCCCCGTATGTACTTCCACTAAAATGTTCTTTAAACATTTGGCACTGAAGGGAAGGGGACATACAGAAACAGGTCCTGAATTAGATATTGCTCCTACTGCCCCAACAATTCCTGCAGTTCCCATATACCCCCCCCATTCCACTACCTTTCTGTGAATGTGGACCTGACTCCAGACCTAGGCATCCGACTGGGCAATCAGCCCAGGGTGCTAATTAAAGAGAAGGGCACACGCTACAATTTTGCAGTTGTTTTTACAGATCTCAAGAGGTCCTCTAAGGGGAGGGATACAAGGGGGAAGAGGAGGATTGACTGACAGAACCCCTCTCGGAATAAATCAATGTGCCTTTTGTAAAAAGGAAGGGCACTGGAAAAAGGATTGTCCAAGGAAATTAAAGGGTCAGCAAACAGCAGCTAATGTGATGATTATAGGAGAGTATGCAGATTGACGGGGACCAGAGGTGAACCCAGCTGAGCCTCTGGTTACAATCAGGCTGAGAAAAAAGGAGGTTACATTTTTGGTGGACACTGGAGCAACGTTCTCAGTTCTGAACAAACAGAAGGGGATGATAGGATCTAAAATGGTTAATATTGTGGGAACCACAGGGAAGGAGGAAAACCGGCCATTCTTACAACTGTTGATTTTACAGTTTGGAAATAAAATCATAACACGTGAATTTCTGTATGTTCCAGAATGTCCAGTACCCTTAATGGGAAGAGATTTGCTATCCAAATTAAATGCCCAGATAGTTTTTGAAAATGAAGAATTGTTGTTAAAAATACCAGAATCAAAAACAGGGGAAATTTTGATGATACAGGAAAAAACAAAGATACAAGAAATCCCCCCCCAGAAGTGAGTTATCCAGTAGTTCCCATGGTATGGGAAACTGATGTCCCTGGCAAATCTAAACTGGCACAACCAGTGAAAATTGAATTAAAGAAGGGAGCAAAACCAGTTAGGATCAAACATACCCAATTACACCTGAGGCAAAACAAGGAATTAAAAGGCTGATTGATAAATTCTTGAAATATAAGATTTTAGAAGAATGTGAGTCAGAATATAATACCCCTATTTTACCAGTCCGAAAGCCCACAGGTGAGTATAGGTTAGTACAGGACTTGAGAGATATAAATCAAATTGTAAAAGACATTCACCTGGTAGTGGCAAATCCATATACCTTATTGACAGCCCTTAAAGAAAAGCAGCAGTGGTTTACAGTGCTTGATTTGAAAGATGCTTTCTTTTGCATACCCCTGGAACAGGAAAGTCGTAAGCTGTTTGCTTTTGAGTGGGAAAACCCACAAACAGGGCGTAAAGTATAGTTAACCTGGACATGACTACCCCAAGGATTATAAGAAAATCTTCGGCAGCCAACGTGACAAAGAACTAGAGCTATGGACAAATGAAAAGACAGTGACTCCATGACAAGAACATCTACTCTTACAATATGTGGATGACATCTTAATAGCTACAGAAGAAAAGACAGCCTGTATACAGGTAACCACTGAACTTTAAAATTTTTTTTTGGACTTAATGGGTATAAGGTGTCTGAGAAGTAAGCCCAAATAGCAAGCCAAACTGATATATTTGGGCTTTGAAATTTCAAAGGGACAAAGAAGATTGGGGACTGATCGAAAGGAAGCAATCTGTGCTATTCCAGAACTTCAGACTGTACATGAATTAAGAGCTTTCTTGGGAATGGCCAGGTGGTGTTGTCTTTGGATTATGGTCTCTTGACCAAGCCATTATACGAGGCCCAAAAATCCACCCCTTTCATATGGGGTCAACAACAACAGGAGGCCTTTCAAAAGCTTAAGTGAGCTTTAATGACAGCACCAGCTCTAGGATTACCTGATTTAACTATAGATTTCCAGTTGTTTGTTCATGAAAGGCAGCACCTTGCCCTGGGAGTCCTGACCCAGAGGATGGAAGCTGGAAGAGACCTGTGGGGTACTTTTCTGAACAACTGGACACGGTGAGCAAAGGATGGCCTTCCGGCTTGCGGGCAGTACCGGCAACAGTAATATTGATACAAGAAGCCAGAAAGCTCACCTTGGGAAAAACCATCACAGTCTGTGTTCCACATATGGTTGCTACAGTGCTGGAACAAAAAGGGGGGTATTGGCTGTCCCCTAGCAGAATGATGAAATATCAGGTAATTCTTACGGAGCAAGATGACGTGATTCTGAAAACAACTAATCTTGTAAATCCTGCAGTTCTTCTGAGTGCTTCACAGGAGGAAGAACAACCTGAACATTATCGTATAACAACTATTGAACATACATACTCTAGTCGAGAAGATTTGAAGGATGTCCCTCTTGAAGATCCTGAATGGGAGCTGTTTACAGATGGTAGCAGCTTTGTACAGAATGGATATGCGGTAACAACTGAAAGTACTGTGGCAGAGGCAAATGCACTGCCCAGCACTACATCAGCACAGAAAGCAGAATTAATTGCCTTAACACGAGCATTGGAATTAAGTAAGGGAAAGAAAGTGAACATCTGGACAGATTCAAAATATGCTTTTGGAGTGGTTCATGTCCATGGAGCATTATGGAAAGAACGAGGACTATTGTCCTCCCAGGGAGAAAATATTAAGCATCAGAAGGAAATTTTACAGTTGCTATTGGCGGTTCAGGAACTGGCCCAAATAGCGATCATGCACTGTAAAGCACATCAATCTGGAAATACAAAAATAGCAGGAGGGAATAGGTTAGCAGATCAAGCTGCCAAGGAAGCGGCTCAACAGCAAATGTTACAAATGGCAGTAATTCCTACTAGAACTGTAACTCTCCCAAAGGAACCACCAGAATACTCAAAGGAAGATGAGAAACTAGCTCAATTTTAAATGCAAAGAAAAATTTAGAAGGATGGTGGACAACCTCTGAAGGCCAGGTGGTTGTGCCCCCATTAATTATGAGGGAAATACTACAAGTAAAACATCAGGAATGCCATTGGGGTGTAGAGGCCCTGGTGACATTCCTGAAGAGGCACATAGTATTGGTAAGGATGTTAGAGATGGCTAAATCAGTTGCTGCAAAATGCAATGTATGTTTAAAGAATAATCCTGTGGTACAATAGAGAGTTCAAATGGGCAAACTGAAAGTAGGAGTAGAACCTGGTGACTATTGGCAAATTGATTTTACAGAATACCCAAACGTAAAGAATATCGGTATGTTCTGGTTGGGGTCGATACCTTTTCTGGATGGCCAGAAGCTCTTCCCTGTCGCACAAATCAAGCTAAAGAAACAGTTAAATGGCTTTTACATGAGATAATTCCAAGATTTGGAGTGCCTATTGGAATATCATCAGATAGAGGTCCGCATTTTGTAGCCACTGTGGTGCAGGACATAAGCAAAGCCCTAGGAATATCCTGGGATTTGTATGCTTCCTGGAGACCACAGTCCAGTGGAAAAGTAGAAAAGATCAATCAGACTTTAAAAAGACAAATTAGTAAAATATGTCAAGAGACTAAATTGAAGTGGCCTCAGGGACTCCCATCAGCATTGTTGCACATTAGGGTAAAGCCCCGAAGTGGGATGTTAGTCAGCCCCTACGAATTGATGTATGGAAAACCATATGAGACACCTGAACCTAATCCAAATATGCATAAAACAGGAAAACAAGATGTTTATAATTATTTGCTTTCTCTTGGAAAAACTTTAGCTAAACTCCGAAGTGCAGTAGTGTGGAATCAACCCCTGGCTCTGGAAAATCCAGTACACGACTTTCAACCTGGAGACTATGTCTACATAAAGACCTGGACAACGGAACCCTTACAAGAAAAGTGGAAGGGACCCTATCAAGTTCTCCTAACCACATTCACCGCAATTAAGATTGCAGAATCAGATGCTCGGATCCATTACACCAGAGTGAAGAAAACACCTTCTACAAAGTGGAGAGTGATCAGAAATCCACAGACTTTAAAATTGACTTTGAAGCATGAATAATTGTCTGAACCTTGTCTTTCTGTTAGTCTTTCAGTCTGAGATGGTAGAAACGTGGACAAAGGAAAAATCGTTGTCAGGCCAAGCAGAGGTGACTAATGATACTCAGACTCAAATCCATAACGTGAATGACTGGTGGGTAGGAGCAGACGGACAAGTACAGTGCTTGGTTTAACTTATCATTGTTTGAAACGAGAACTAACCCAGAAAACAGAGTTTAATCCAATGATCATACAAGCAGAAGCAAGACAACGGGCCCCACCATCATATGACAATTTGGCATTCAATGAGATTACAATTTGAATATGTGAAAGTATTGAGTATGATTATCAATACTTTCAAAAGGGGAAAATGTTGCAAATACCTTAATAATATAGTTTGAATCCTAGAATATTATTTCGATTTTAGTTTTAAAAAAATGACCTCGATTTAAAATGGAGTTATAGCAGCTGTGACAATATGAGGTATGTTGAGGCCCTTAGGAACAGATAACTAGTATGGTGTTTGCCTTAATCACTACAGGAATTGTTATGGACTCTGAATCAAAACAATGGGTACTGATTACGCATCTTGAGTTAAAATGACTATGTAACCATGACTCTGTAACCATAACTCTGCTGAAAAAGTGTATAAATATGTGCTGTTTTGTATCTGTCGATGAACACGTCTTTGGTGGAGCTGTCCCCCGTGTTCCCCAGCGCTGGAATAAAGAAGTGCCAGCTTATCTGCTTTGTGTAGATAAGTTCTTTCGCGATTGTGACCGCTAACAGCACTAGTGTGTAGAAGGACTGTGCAGTGAGGAGCAGGAGAAAGCAAGGAAAGATGCAGGAACAGGGAGACTCAGGCTTCTCCCCTTTCACACACAGTTCAGGCTGCAGTTTCACAGATGGCAAAGACACAGAGTCTAAAGGACAGAACAAAGGTAAAGTTGGGTTTGAGTTACTACCGTAAAATATTTCTTGCCCCTTCCATTTGCACCCCCAGTTCCACAGATGCTTTGGAAGCCACGGTGATGCCTTGCGGGGGAAGGAGGCGCAGCCCCACCTGGATGAAGGCGTTGGCCTGGATGCACTTGGCGTCCTCCACCGTCACCCTGAGGCCGTTGGCCGTGGCGAAGCAGGTGGCGTGGTCCTGGAAGTGGACGGCCCTGAGGAGGCTGGAGAGGTGGCGGGCGTTGTCGAGGCTGGCGGCCAGCACGAAGGGCTCGGCGCTGGCGGGCGGCCGCGCCGAGGCGAGCGGCATGGCGGCGGCCGCGCTTCCGGGATGGGGGGGGGAGGAGGCGGAAGCGGGGCGCGAGCGGGCGGAAGTGCAGCGGCGCGGCGCGGGCGAAATGGCGGCGGGCAAGAGGAAGCGCGGCGGCCCGGCGGCGCGGCCCGAGAAGCGAGCCAAGCGAGCTGCGGGCGCGCCCGAGCCCGGTGCCACGCCGGGTCCGGAGGAGTACAGCGTCCCGCCGCCCGTCTCCCAGGTATCTCCCAGCCACCTCCCAGCCCCGTAACGCTCCCACCCGCGCCGGCGGTTCCCCCGTGGGATGGGCACCGGGCCCCCGCGCCCCGCGGCGGGCCTGAGGGTGGCATTCCGCCTCCACGGGTGAAGGGCGCGGGGGCCGGGTGCTGCGGCGGCGGCACCCGGGGGGCTGGGGGGAAGCCAGCTGCCAAGTGGGGGGGGAGGGGGGCGAGCGGGTAGTTTTCTTATAGCCCCGGCCCAACACGCGGTGGTACGTTATTTCTGTGGAAATACGCGAAGAGCGTTATTCCCGTCGACGCAGATAAAGGTGTGCTACCTCTAATCTCAAAATCGTTTTGAAGAGTTGAATAATTCTGTTGTTTACAGCGGATGTGCGGGTATTACGCCCGTTTCGTTTAGGAATCATCCCGAGGCAGCTTCAATAATTCCTTTGTGGCTTCCCTAAAAATAAAAAGTGGCACGCTGAAGCCTGAGATCTCATCACATGCTTCTCTAGGAAAAGTTGAATTGTGCTGTGAGGCTGTAGCTCGGCTCGTTTTTCAGGGAAGGAGGGGGTGCCTTTTGCAAATGAATCAATGCCTGTGGTTTTCTTAATACTGGCATGTTTTATGTGAGTGAAAGGCTTTATGTAGGAACACAATGAAACAGCACAGATGACAGTTCTTCATGTAAAAACTCATGCTCCTGTGTTGTGTGGGTACGTTATCACTTGCTGAGAGGGTGATTCTATGCAGGTGGGCAGATAATGACAAATGTTCTTGCTGTGTTTTCCTGCAATTACCGTTCAGATGTTTATTGTTGATGTGTTCTAATAGTTTTAAGGCTAGAAACTGCCTGCTTCAGTTTTGTATTTTTCCTAGGGCAAATGGAAAAACAAGGAGCGAGTGCTTATTTTCTCTTCTCGTGGAATTAATTTCAGAACAAGGCACCTAATGCAAGACTTAAGAACGCTGATGCCTCATTCTAAAGCAGGTGGGGTTAGGCATCATCCCTAACTTTGATTTTCAGAATAGTTTTAAACTAAGATCCCTCTAACAAGCTGTTTTTTTTAAAGATGTGGTACGTAAATGTTTTGATGAAACTTTTATCTTAAACAAACACCAAAACCCTTTTGGGCCAACAAATCCAGCGACTGTTATAGCTGAATATTTTCTGGGAAAATGGTCTTATGGCCTCAGCCCTGTATGTGCACAGACGCTTTTAATTGCTATGTTTATTTATTGCATAACATGGCTGAAACAACCTGATAGTTATTAATCTTTCATTTGTAACCAGTAAAACTTTTGCAAAATGACTGTTAAAAGAACTTCTTGTGTTAAATTGGTTTTCCAGTCTTCTAAATATTGTTATTGTCTTCCAGATACTAAAATGGACCGTAAAGACCAGTTGTTTGTAATTAATGAGGTAATCATAAATTTAACTAGTGCTTTTTTTTTTTTTTTTTCTCCTGGGGAAATGCAGTGTGCAGGAGAAAAGGGCAGCCAAATTCAGAGGCTCTCATACTAGTTATAGAAGTTGTATAACTTCATAGATGAAAAGTATTGATATTCAGAAAGGGCTTGTGTTAAAACAATAAGTTTACTTTTGATTAATAAAAACAAAATGAAACCTTTAATTAAACATAGACTTTTGTCATGAAGAAATAAAACAGACTGTGCCGTTCTGTGTAGGTGAGAGGTATGTTACAATTTATATTTCAAGAAAGCAGGGAACAAATAATTAGCCAGACTGTACAGTGTACTAGGACACTGGTAGTTCTGAAACTAGAACCTAATGTCACAGCTCCTGCTGTAATGTTTATGTCCTGGAGAGCTTATGAGGTTGCTTGTAGTTTTAGTGAAGTTACTACTGGTGATTAATACATGAGATTTTTCAACAAAACAAGTGCTTCAACTTAGGTTTGGGGATCAGTAAGTGTAATTTATTAAGACGAGACCCTTGCTTTTGAACTTATGTTTTGGAGGGGGGAAGATATTAGAGATTAATGTGGAAAGTTTTTGAAAATGTCTTCAGAATTTTATAAAGTTCTAATTGGATATGTCTTTTGTAGGTGTGTGAAATGAAAAACTGCAATAAGTGCATCTTCTTTGAAGCCAAAAAGAAACAGGATCTTTATATGTGGTAAGAAGATGTTATGTTTTCTTACATTTCTACATATAGCTGGGGATGCTGCAGTTCTATCTAAAGTTTCTTACTCTAATCTGACGATGCGTGAAATAGCCTTGCTTAGTTAAATCTCTACTAATCTTGCACTTCTGTGGGTAGTGCAAGTTTACAGTGCATGATCAGCTTTGGTAGACTGTTACAGAAACATTTTGCAAAATTGTTTAAAAATCATGTGTTTGTAAGTATGTTAAAGGAACTCACTAATGCCATAAAAGCAACTGAAATTAATTCAGTACAGAAATAACTGGTTGGAGTGTACTATAGAAATCCAGCATACCTTCTGGCTGCTGTTAACATATTTCTTTTCTCTCTTCCCCACTATCTGTCCTCTGCAGGCTTTCAAATACACCACGGGGACCGTCAGCTAAATTCTTAGTGCAGAATGGTAAGTTGGTTGGCATTACTGTGTTTGGACTCTTGTGTTCTTGTCTGTGGTTTTCTGTAAGTACTAAAATAATCTTTCTAAAAAAATCACTGTAGTTCACACACTGGCTGAATTGAAGATGACAGGAAACTGCCTGAGGGGCTCACGGCCCCTTTTGTCTTTTGATCCAGTAAGTATAGGTTTTATTTCATTTAGTATGCATTTGTTTTCATTGCATGACTATTGCGTTTACCACTGTATGTAAAATTACATTTGTTCCTTTGTAGACATTTGACAAGGAACCACACTATGCCCTGCTAAAAGAATTGTTTATTCAGGTCAGTCTGTAGTTCTTCTGTCCAGTGTTTCTCCCTCATTGGAAATGTTTTTTGGCAAAATATTTTTTAAATCTCAACTGTTTTTTATGTAGTTGTTTTACACTTCTGAACTTGGAAAACATCTTCAAAGGATTAGGGTAATGTGCTTAAAATCACTGGGACACTTGTTCTTAAGTTTTGAGTTTTGAAATACAAGCTGGGATTGGGATCTTAGTAAATTAAAATGCATTAAAAATGAGCCATTTATGTTTGGTCTCTTAAACTATAGATAATTAGCAATACTGCCTTTTATTACAGGTGTTTAGTACACCACAGTATCACCCCAAAAGCCAGCCTTTTGTAGATCATGTTTTCACCTTCACCATTACAGATGAGAGGATCTGGTTTCGGAATTACCAGGTTAGTGGTCTCTTCTAGCTCTTCAAGAGGACCTCAGTGGAGTAATTTCATATCAAATCCATGAATTACAATGAAATGAGAAGAGTCATTATCAGGATATGCCAACACCTACTGCTTACACAAAGTAATTTCTGTGTCCTAAAATGACTTTATCTTCTCCCATATCTCTGGAGAGAGCTGGTTTAAGTTCTGTGTACTTCAGCTTGCATTGTTAGTTGTGATTCTGTGATGATTGTCTCAGTAATGGGAAGTACTAGTCAAAGCCTGAGCTTTGCTTGCCTTTTAAAATTAACGTGCTGCTCTGACCCAAAGTGCTTACTTTCTAAAGGAGGAATTCACAAATTAGTATTTATTGATTGAACCTAAAAGAACTGCTTTATATACAGTATGGTGTTTATACAAGTCTAGCTTATCAGCTTCAGTGGCATCATATCTTGGATTTAAATTCAGTTGTGTATCACCATATGCAAGGTGCCTACAAGGTCATATACTTCGATTCGATCCATGAGAAATGAAGAAAGTATTCTTTTTATTGCAGATAATAGAAGAAGATGCATCTCTAGTAGAAATTGGGCCTCGTTTTGTCCTGAACCTCATAAAAATCTTCCAAGGTAGTTTTGGAGGACCAACTCTCTATGAAAATCCCCATTACCAGTCCCCAAATATGGTAAGCAGCTTTGACTTTCTTTTTTCATTTAGCAACGAATTTGAAAACTGATCTTGCAGTCTGTGCAGGAGAATCAAATATGCCTTTCCCTGGAACCCCTTGTAGAAAACAGTGCCCTTATCGGATCACAGTTTGAGAACAGTAATTTTGTAAAAATAGAATGAATGCAAAATTCATGTAACTGAAAAGGTGGCATTACTTTTTGAAGATTTTGAGAATACAACAGAGAAGTTAGGACTTGTTTCCTCAATACCTGACTTCTTCCATCTTGCTTATTTGAAACCTGATATAATTTAAATTCTTGTTTTTATAGCATCGACGACTGGTAAGATTGTCAGTGGCGGCCAAGTTTAGAGAGAAACAGCAAGTGAAGGAGGTACAAAAGGTTAAGAAAAAAGGGAGTAAGGTGCTCATTGGAGAAGATCCCACTGAAGTGGTCTTTGAAACTCCAGCTGAAGAAAAGCCAGTGGAAATACAGCTTGTGAAACCAGAGTCAAAGCCAATTGTTAAAGATAAAAAGAAGCTACGCAAAATTCAGAGGAAGAAGCAAAAAAAACTTTTCAGAACTGAAGCATAAGCATAAATGTTACAAATGATAAAACTAGCTATATTGATATAATACTGTAAATACTTGTTTTTACAGGCAAAACTAATTGGACTTCAGTTTTAAGTAAATAAAATATAAATTCCTTTATTAGGATTGAGTTTGCACTCTTATTGTCTTGCTGTCTTTGAGAGGATTCTGGGTTTCGAAAAACAACAGTGCAACAGGGAAGGGGGAGTAGGACACTCCAAATACCTCCATGTTTGAGATTTGGGCCCTTACACTTGAATACCTGTGGGAAACAACTCACTGTAACATCTGCAAGGAGTAAAAATAACTGGGTAGTCACTGGTGCTCATCATGAACCAGAATCCAAAAGTCAGATTTCTTAGTCTGATAGCAGTAGAAAATCCTTTTAAAAGTTCTACAGGAATTCTCTCTTGGAGAGTGGTGTTCATTTTTTTTTTTTTTTTCCCCTCCTTGTAATCCCTAGGGAATGCAAAGGGTTATGGCCTCTTAATTTTTTTTTTATTAATAGTGCAAAAGCTGCTACTTTTGCCTGTCATAGTTCCTGCACCTAATCAGGTTTTTAGGACCTAAAACATAGCTACAGGGGAGAAATTGGCTAACTTAGGGTTCTAGCCCTTAATAGATGCATTGCAAGTTCCCTAAAAGAAAGAGGTACACACTACCCATGATGGGTGTCACAACCATACACCTACAGTAGCCTGAAATAGAATTATCTGTGATTCTTTGCTACAGCAACAATGCTTAAAAGCACACAATTCCACGCTCATACACATGCAAGAAAGAACCTTTTTTTTTTTATTACAAAAATGCTGTCCTCTTGGGTTAATTGTGTTGTTGAGGTAATGTTTTTTGGAGTAGAATAAGGTCACGTTTTTCCAGATAAAATTGAAAATCTCATATATAGCTTAAAAGTCATTAGAAACAAAAGTCTTGATTTTGCTCATGGATAATATCGGTGCTTTAAATGCAGCAGTGTTCATTGCACACTAATGAGCAACAGAAAGTCCAGAGTTTAGTTTGCTGTAGTTCCTGCCTACTTGTTGGGGCTGTATTTTCATTAAGCTCTTAGGAAATCACTGACTGTGAGTCTGTGCTTTTGCCAGATGCAGTTAAATGAGCCACTATTCATAAGTTACTAGCTGGGGAAAGGAGTGTACAACTGTTCTCTCACAGAAAGTCTAATGGGGAACCAGACTAAAAGATTTCAACAATAATTGGGTGAGGATTTCTGTGTAGTGCTCAGCAAAAGTCTGATTTCAATAAATTCTTCTTGACTGATGTTAGCAAATACTTGCAGACCTCTCTGGGGCTATTTCTTCATTACCTTTCTTTAACCTGCTTTCCAGTTCCAGACCTCATGACCTGCTTCTTCCACTGACTTTAGTACTATCTCCCTTTCCGCTCCCCCAACTTCCCTGTGTTTCAGGGTCTTGCTCATGCTATGTTCCTATTTGATTCTTCTGTTGGTTTCAGCCTCTGGCATCTTGGTGCTGAACAGACACATCTGGGAAGGAAGCTGACCTCTTAAGTGCTACTTGTTACCTCACCCAGCAGGGCAAGGGAAATTCAGTGTCACTTCTGCAACAACGTGGTCTGTGTGCCATCTGACTGGAAATACAGACTGGTGAATACAGGTGTATGCTCTGTGTAGTCTTAATACGTGGAATCAGAATATCTCAAGTTGGAAGGGATCCATGAGGATCACTGAGTCCAGCTCCTCGCAGGGCTATGTGAAACTAAACCATGTGGCTGACAGCATCATTCACTCCTTGAACTCTGACAGGCTTGGTGCTGTGACCGCTTCCCTGGGGAGCCTGTTCCAGTGACCAACCACCCTCTGTAGTTTTCTGAGCCCAGAGAGCAACTGAGCACCATGCAGCCACTCTCTCTCCCTTTCCCCCTCAGGAATGTGAAGGAGGCAAAAAAAAAAAAAAAAAGCAAAAGGTTCAGGAATCAAGATAAGGACAGGGAGGGATGACTCACCCATTATGGTCACTGGCAAAAGTCTCATTAGGGGAAGAGAAACATCAATTTAATTCAAACACTAACAACAACACTTCAGAAAACAGAGTAGGACAGTGAGAAGTATTACTGTATCTTAAAAACATTTTCCTCAACCCTCCCTTCTTCCTGGGCTCAGCTTTGCTCCCAATTTATCTACCTCCTCCCCTGCAGAGGCACGGGGGGGGGGGGGGGGAATAGGGAAGTACAGTCAGTCCTGCTGCTCCTTCCTCTTCAGGGGGAGGAATCCTCGCATTCTTCCCCTGCTCCAGTGTGGCGTCTTTCTCACAGGAGACAATCCTCCATGAACTTTCTCCAACAAGAGTCCTTCCCATGAGTTGTAGCCCTCCCCAGGCTGCTCCAGTGTGGGTCACCTCTATGTGTTGCAGTCCTCCCAGTGCCAAACCACAACAGCGGGGGCTTCCCATAGACTCCCAGACTACTTCAGGTGCAGCCACCTGCTCTGGTGTGGGATCATCCACGGGCTGCAGGTCAGCATCTGCTCCACTGTGGACCTCCATGGGCTGCATGGGGACAGCCTGCCCTCTCACCACAGGCTGCAGGGGGTTCTTAGCTCCAGTGCAACTCCTCCCCTCCGTCCTTTTCTCCACTGCCCTCAGTTTACATGGGTCTCCTCTTCACAATTTCCCCCCCTCCTCTCAGGTTCCCCTTCTTAAATATGTTATCACAGAGGCATGGCCACCGTCACTAACTGGCTTGACTTTGGCCAGAATTGGGTCCGACTTGGAGCCAGGGGAGCTTCAAGAAGCTTCTTATAGGGGCCACCGCTGTAGCCCCCTCTCCTGCTACCAGAAACCCTGACAGGCAAACCCAACATCCCAGCACACCTTCTCATTGAAGTACTTTTTCTTAATGTCCAACCCGATCTTCCCCTGACACAGCTTCATTCCATTTCCTCACATCCCGTTGCTGGCCACCAGAGAGAGGAGATCAGCATGTCCACCTCTGCTGCCCGCCGTGAGGAAGGTGTAGGCCACCATGAGGGCACCCCTCAGCCTTCTCTTCTCTGAGCTGGACAAGCCAAGTGGACTCAGTTGCTTCCTCCTAAGTCTTGCTCTTGAAGCATTTCTCCACCTTGGTCACCCTCTTCTGGACACACTCAAAGAGTCTGACGGCCTTGTGACCCAGAGGTGCCCAAACCTGCACACAGCACTTGCGGAGTGGGACGCTCACCTCCAGCCCTGTGCTCGATGCACTTTGGGGCATGGCTGGCCCTTTGCACTGCCGGGGCACACTGTGGGCATATTTTACATTGCTACCAACCCCCTCGCGCCCCTCCCCCCCCCCCCCGATCTCCTTATCTAATCCAAAACTCAGTTCCTGTCGTGACAACTTGATACATGTCGCGTGTAGAGAGAAAAAAAAAAAGGTGGCTTGGGCCAAACCTGCGATCTCTTTAACACTGATAATTGGAGGCGTGTGCGCTGTGCTCGCTGTGCTCCAGAGCGCTCACGGAAACACCTCAACTTCGTTAAGGGGCGCCAGGTGAGTGTCAGGCCGCAACCCGGCAGCAGGGACCGCGGCCGCGGCCCGCTCCGCCCCCGCCCGCGTAGCTCCTCCCGCCGCGGGGCGGGGGCGGCGGCCCGGGCTCTTTAGGGCCTCGCCGCCGCAGCCGCTGCCGTTGCCGCTGCCGCCATGAAGTGTCACTACGAGGTGCTGGGAGTGAGCTGCGACGCCGGCGAGGAGGAGCTGAAGCGGGCGTACCGCCGGCTGGCGCTGCGCTGGCACCCGGGTACGGCTGCGGCGCCCGCCCAAAGGCCCGAGGAGGAGGTGGGGCGGCCTGGCCCGCCTCCACCTCGCTCGGCCCCGCCGGCCCCTGACCGCGGCGTGGGAGGCGCCGGTTGTCGGGGCTTCGCGGGGCCTGTGGGGGAGCCGGGCCGGGAGGCAGCGCCCGCGGCTCCGTGCAGCCGCCCCCGGTTGCCGAAGCGGTCGTGGCGGGCGATGCCGTCGTGGGCTGGGTCGCTCACCGTGTCATTAAATTGCCTTGTAGATAAAAACCTAGAAAACGCGGAGGAAGCAGCAGAGCAGTTCAAGTTAATCCAGGCAGCGTATGATGTTCTCAGTGACCCCCAGGAAAGAGCCTGGTGAGCAGCGTGTGTCTGGTAGCGGCCTGGAAAAAAGACTTTTTTTTTTTTTTTTTTTTTAATTTTGCCTCAGCCAGGGCTTTGAGTTTGCTTCTCGCCGAGCCTTGGGGGAAGTCAGCGCGGGCCTCTGTGGCGGGAGCAGCCGCTTTGCCTCAAGATGTGAGGGGGCTGAGAGCCATGCCGGGGTGCGGCTGCGCGCCCTCCCACGCGGTGTTTCAGGAGGTGGCGTGGGGCTGGGCGCTGAGGGGTGCTTTTCGGGACACGCCAGCCTTGGCCCCTGCTTCATCCTCCCAGAGCAGGAGGCAGGTTCCATGCTAGCATAGGCGTCCCTCCGCTCGCAGCCCCCCCGCTTCAGCGGGTGGAGAGCCAGCGCCAGGCCGAGGGTGTGCAGGTGTGCAGTAAGCTATTGATTGCTGCAGACGGTAAGCCTTAATTACATATGTAGTGTCGCGTTTCTGTAATGGCCCTAATTTGAAATACGCCTTTCTTTTTTTGAGATTGCTACTCTAGATGTTCTGGGTAGCTTGTTTTTCAAATGGGCTGGAGCATCTGCAGCATTATGTAGCCAAAACCACCTGTACTAAGGTTGTCTTCCTTGAAAGGAAAGTACTGCTTTTCAATTTTTATATGCTAATATATCATTTGGAGGGTTTTTTTTGTGTGTAGGTATTGGATGATTTAAATAATGTCCTACCCATTTCTGAAAGCTTATTGAAGCATCTTGGTCATATGTGTTTGCTAGCTGCTCATTAAGAAATCGCTGCTATCGATAAAGTAATAGTGAGTAAACTAAAGGTCAAGAGAGAATATTTACTGAGCCTGTCTGTCTTCTCTCTGAAGACATTAGATGAGACCTAAATTCCAGACACTGAGCTAAACTATACCTGGAGGTGATATATGTACTGTGTTGGTTTACCAGTGCATCTTTACATCCTTGATACTGTGAATTTTTACTAGGTATGATAACCACAGGGAAGCTCTGCTGAAAACAGGAGATCATGGAGACTATCAAGATGATAGTTTAGATCTGCTGCCATACTTCACTGTTAGCTGTTACTCTGGATATGGGGATGATGAAAAGGTAATGAGTTAATTCATCTTTAATGAATCAATTTAAATTTCATGAAAAGTGTCGGCATTTGCATTGTGTTGAAAAGCTATTTGTGGAATTGTTGAACATGGGTAGTGATAATGCTTACACAAATCTTTCTATGACAAAACTTACGCTAGACACTTAGGAAGCTTTAGTTCCTGCTTATTGTCCAGCACTTACTTTGTCATGATTTAAAACTACACCATATGACTACAGAGTGTGTGTATATTATTTATTTACACAAGATAGTGAAGCATTCCAGTGCTTTGCAGTACCATCTGTTTATTCAGAAATATATTTTACAAGCTAGAATGCTTCAAACAACAACAAAAAAAAGGCAGTGTAACAACAGTCCTGGGGGAAAGTGTGCTTCCTATAATTGAATTCCCTGTTGGATTTTAATATACTCATTGCAACTTAAAAAGCTCCAGGTGATTATAAAAGCCTCTGCCAGAGAAAATCCTTATCTGTCTTTGTGTTACTATACTGTGAGTTAGTAACATCTTAATTTTAAAAGAGAAGGATACTTAATAGTGAATTTTATATTTGGAACTTCCTCAAAACTTGATCCTCTGCAACCAGAAACTAATCAACATCTCCAGCATGTTGAAACGTTTCTGATTTGATTTGAATACAGGTGCTTGATGTGTGAGACACAGAGAACATGGAGATTGGAATTAAAAAGAATGTGTGAGAATGGGAAGTTTGTTAAACAGGAGGGTCTTGCTATCTAGAGCAAGTGCTTACAAGGCCTTTACCCTGATTTTGGGTTGCTGTAGCAGAATTGTAATATTTCTCTAACATACACTACTGTAGCTGAGCATTTGTACATCTCTTATTGAACCATGCAAAATGAATCAGAATTTTTTTTTTTTTATTTCAGGGATTTTTTACAGTCTATCGACAAGTTTTTGAAAAGGTTGCAAAAGAAGAGATGGAGTGTATGACCCAGGGTGCTACTGAGTTATTCCCTATGTTTGGATATTCCCAAAGTGACTATGACACGGTAAGAGCAAGTGTAAATCTGAACTGAAAGTAACACAGTTAAGTCATTACCTTGTCCCACAGTGAAATCAAAGGAAAGACTCCTGCTGTCCTCTGAGGTGAATACAAAGCCATGTATCTTCTGTCTTTTCTACTACTGTAAACCATTACTATAGAGGAAGTGCTTGTGTTCTGATTCACAATATTTGGGTGAATTAAAATTGGTATTTCCTGTTGGACTACATTATTAGTGAAGCTTTTAGTGTAAATTCAGACAGTTCACAGGGCTAACCATCCATTATGCCAATGAAACTTAAGTGCAGTGCAAGGCCTACAAAACAAAAGAACAGATGTTTTCTTTGCTTCCTGATGAAAATAGTTTATCAGTGTTTTAATGCAACTTACATTACAGAAAGTGATACTGAGATTTTTTTTTTTTCAAATAACATGTAGTGTCTTGCCTCATTTAGGGAAACTGTATAGCACTTACTTTAGAAAATGGGAGATGTTGACCTGCAATGTGTGCTCCCACTATGATACTATTGTCATCTACAGTTACTACATAGTAAGATTTAATTTCTAAATTATTGCATGCTTTCCTCTGGAAAGCAAGAAAAGAAAATGTGTGGAGGACAGTTTCATTCTTGTCTGGGTTGCCAACTACTTGCTGTAGTCTGTCAGATTTACAATTTATTCTCAAGGTTAGCAGTATTTCTGTGTTAAATAGTAAAGTAATAGCACTCTCCCCAGTGAATAACTGCACAGTATCAGTGTACTTAAATGTTGCTCCTAATCTGCTACTTCCCTCTGTTACTTCTAGTGGAATTGTACTGTATGACTAATGATTTATGAAATGTAAATTCATATATACCTTAAAAATTAGTAACTTCAATGGTACAGAACTTGTCAGGAGTTGGAAACAAAGTTACAAATCAAGCTAAGAAGTGTCAGAATGGGTGTTTGAATGTCAGGTAAAATTAGTCTGGTTTAACAAGTGGAAATCATTCCCAGGGAGAGAATACTTAATGTCTCTGAAACTGCTAAAATCTTTTATTGGAGTTACTTTGAAACGTCTTTTGGAAACTGCTTGTTTTGAGGCCATGGGATAGGTATGATTATAGACCCAAAATAGCTTTTATGCTGTTGTTTTGCCAGTTGACAGGATTGACACAAAGGACTCAGATACTAACAGGAACAATAGACTTACTTTACTAGCTATTGCAAAATAATACAAAACATAAGATAATACATTTAGTCAGAATGGTAAGCTTATTACACTCTAGTTATAAGCAGCAAAGAGAACAAACAAGCTAATACTCCTTAATTCTAAAATAATGTGACAAGAAAAAGCAAGACAAGGTAATGCACCTAATCATTACTACATAGTCACGGGTAGTGATTAAGAAAGATACATCACCAATTGCCCTAATACTTTAACATCATCCAGATCTGCAGTCACTGGGGAGCCCTGGTTGCAGTGAGGATTTGGAGAACCTTTCCTGGCAATTGGGAGGTCCTAGGTGAGGTCTCCTAAGTCGCTTCAGGAGGGTCCAGCTTTTATAGTGTTGAATAAACAGGTTTCAAACTTCAAGTGCAGAAACATCTGTCATCCCCTCCCTGTTGGATTTCACCCAAAGCCTGGCCAGGGCTTAAGGAGGAACCCAACTGGGGGCATGTGTATCTATTTGGGCTTTAACCACCTGTTTCTCAACAGGGTCTGATGTCTGGTGATGCTGCAAAAAGGGACCAAACCCACATACTTCTCAACGGGTTCTGGTGTCTGACGGGTTCTGGTGTCTGGACTCATGGCCTTACCTCATGCCTCTAAATAAAGAAAGATCAATTGATCGGCTGTTGTTACATAATGAAGTTACAACAGAGCTTCTATAGATAAATATACTAAGATAGACTAGTAATATATTATAATGTGGCTAATACTACATATGACTAGTACTATATTGTGGGATGTTGAGATTCATCTGGAAGTCAGTTTTGATTCTGGCCTGTTGTTCAGGCCTCAGTACTTCAGATGTCAATTAATAACTGCAAAAATGGCTGGAATTGTAGCACCAGCATGCTTTAACATCTGCCTTGTTCACCCTGTTCTGGAAGCAGAATGCTTACTTTCTTTTTTTTTTTTTTTTAAAAATGATTGGATTTGTGGGGGTATTTTATGGGAAATGGCCTCAGTTAAATGGGCAAGTAATTATCCCTGTTATACAAAGAGATAATACTGTCAGAGGATTATAGCACTGCAGTGGTCACTACTCAGTGGGAGTATTGTGGGAAAAGTTTTTGAAGCGAGCTACAAAGATTCTGCAGAGGCTTCAGTATCTGATGTGAATGCTTTCTGTTAGAGTCTACTGAGTTAAGTCACAAGAAACTTGTGAGGCAGCTCGGTCGCTGCCAGGCCGCCAGGGAAGATTTTCTTAAGTCTGACTTCACAAGACTTGTAGGTCAATTATATGCAGAAACAAAAGTGATCAGTTCCAAGTATAAGTAGTAGGCAAGACAAAATCCACCTGGGAGTTCAGCAAAGCTGCTGTACAGTCTTCTGGAGAATGTCAGAGATGTGCTTGTATTTCAGGTAGCTGCTGAGGCAGAGGAAAGTCAGCTCATACAGCTGGTGAAGGGGAGGATTATCCCTGTCATCAGTTGATGGCTATGCATCCTTTTGCACAGAAAATATCCCCTTCTGAAGCAGAAGTTTGAGATAGGGAGTCTAATCTCAGATTATTGGATTAAATATGAATATTTACTGGTTATTATACAGCTGGGTTTTTGTGATAGCAGAGGAAAACCATAGTGACTTACCTGTCAGAGGCCACAGCCATGAACCTTTGCATGTAGATAGGCCATTAGAAATTGGTGTTGAGATGTTGATAGTTATAGTCCATGTGAATACCAATGGCAGAAGGAAGAGAAGAAGAGCTTTCTAGAAGAGATATTAAACTGTTAGGTTAAATACTTCTGTGAGGTGTTCCAAAATATGAGCAGTAGTACATGGAGGAGTGAGTAGTAAAAAGGCAGCTTAGGGGCAAGTAATTTAAGAACTGAGTTTGGATGTATCTTGTTTCCTGAATATACAAAATGCAGAAGATCAATAATTATTTGGAGAGGAATACAGAACAAAACAAAAAATAATTGTGCCATTTTCTTAATCCAGCATTTACTGATGAATAGTAAAAGGAAGGAGAATAAGGAAAGATCATTTACTGTTTCTTTTAATGTGAGAGCTAGGGGTATAATTTTAGTGTAGTCATATAATTTGCTAACAGAACTAAGTAAATCTTCACATAGCCCCTTGTTAAACAGTGCAAGTCATGGCTCTATGCTATTGTATATGCCAACAATTTACATGGGTTAATAAAAGAAATACTAAACAAATTAATGAAAGAAAACTCCCTCAGGGGCTATTAATTTCTGTCTTGCTCTGGAAGCAGAGAGACTATACAGGGAAGAAATAGCATTATGTACATCTGTGTGTTTTATTGGACTTTTTGTGCCAGTCATTGGCTGCTGTTGACTTGTATGGCTGACCTTTGGTGTAATTTCGCATGGTGGTTTTTAGGCAATATGTGCTTGCAAATAGTGTATCTGATTCTGATTGTGCTTTTCAGTTTGACAGAAGTACTGCACAGCTAAGTAACTGGGCACTAGTGTCAGTATGATCTAATCCTTCAAGAGGATATTTTTTAGAAGTTGCAGTTTGGAGTAGTTTAGACAATGCTGTTGGTTTGGTGTGGTTTGAAATTAATGACGATATTAGAGGTTTTTCTAAAACCTTCATGTGATTTATTTATACTCTGAGGGAAAACTGGCCTGTATAGAAGACAAAACTACTACAAAAGTCTTGAATTCTTCAGTATGGCTTTTTGTCATCCTCTGCTTAACAAGTCACTTGTTCATTTTTTTTTTTCTTACAGGTAGTCCACCCTTTCTATGCATATTGGCAGAGTTTTTGTACTCAGAAAACCTTTGTTTGGAAAGAAGAATATGACACACGACAAGCCACAAACCGCTGGGAGAAACGAGCTATGGAAAAAGAGAACAAGAAAAGAAGAGATAAAGCAAAGAGAGAGAGGAATGAAATGGTCCGTGATCTAGTAGCCTTTATTCGTAGAAGGGATAAAAGAGTACAAGCTCACAGAAAACTTGTAGAAGAACAAAATGCAGAAAAAACTAGGAAAGCAGAGGAATTTCGGAGGCAGCAAAAGCTCAAGCAAGCTAAGTACGTAAATGTGGAACAAATATTTTCTTCTAAACTTGGAGAAACTATCCATGAGAATACCATATAGAGTTAGATTCTGATAGTAGCTCTACTTGCTCTTTTAAACATCCTTAAGAATTGTATGTATTAGTTTGGGTCGCAAGTCTGAACTCTTTAAAACTGGATGTCTGCATTCTACTGACATGTAGGCAGCTAAGATAACGAGGGAATAGTTATCCATGTGCTGCAGGTAACTGGCTGTAGTAGCACAGAATCCAGTGTGCTTTCACCTACCCAGGGAAGTAAGATTTAATAATTGTCATTGTTACTTTAAAGTAAAAATAATGTAGGTTTTGGAATGAGGGGGAACAGGACTATGACAACCTGCACTTAGGTCAACCTTAGATCTGCCTTGGAACTGTACCTGCTAAAAAGGAAGTGGGGAAAAATGAAGTTTTGCTTTTCCTTTTAACCTTTCAGAAATGACACTTTTATTCGAATAAATGCATTTTTTGAATGCTTTTGTTTTTGCCAAAGTGAAGTAGAAGGAAGAGGCAATCACCTGAATATAAGCACAATTTATTCTTTTTTATTTTTTGCTAGCAAATGGGAGGAAGGAGCTTAAATTCTTAAATAAATAATTGCATATTGATTAAAGTTCTATAATAATTATTAAAGTATGTATGGAATGTATTAGGTACAACTATTCCCCCACGCTCCCTAAAGGGAGAATGAAGCAGACTTACGCATTTACTGACAAGTGGCTTGGTAGTTCTAAGTCCACCAGCCAGCTGGAGCAAAATTCAGCTGTACTGTGGTGCACTGGTTGGGAACTTGGGCCACACTTGGATTTGGAAAACTAAGCTGGTACATTCTTATAGTGCAGGGTCAAGGAGTAATGTGCTTGTAGCTTTTGTGGTCCTATAATGTGTGTGAGTTTGGATCTTGCAGCAGGTAAAAGCAGATGTGCTGCTTTGAGGATTGAGCTGACTTTCCTTCTGTCAGCTTGATACTGACCATGCTGCATAGCATTTCCTGCCTGAAATTCAAGCAAGACCCACCTACATTAGTAACTCTGCAGCATAGATGTGCCCATAGACATCACAAACTAACTGCTCGCATTTCCAGGCCCTACAGATAGTTGTTTGTTCCATCATAATATGTTCAGGAACTTCCTCCTAAAATACCTGAGAAGAAAAAGTTGCCATTAAATAATACTGTTTCTGTAATTCCCATGTCATGGACATAATGTAGAAATTACTGTATTATTCTGCTTAAAGGCTTGCTGAGCAGTATAAGGAACAGAGCTGGATGGCTATGTCAAATCTGGAGAGAGAGTTGCAAGAGATGGAGGCACAATATGAGAAGGAATTTGGAGATGGATCAGGTGATGAAGGTGAATTAGAACAACAGGAGACAAAAGGCATTGAAGGTATGGTGTGAGTCAGGGTGATCTATACTGAGTTGTTGCAGCCCAAGTATTGGCTCACTGCACTTAAAGCCCCACATCCACAGTTCTGACAGTAGGGCAACTCCCTGCCTCCAGTTGAAGGGTGCCAAGCTGGAGTCTGGCCCTCTGTTGTTTTCCAGAAAACATAAGACATAAATCTACAATTGTTAATTTATGCTAATTATGATTTGGTGAGATGGTCTTGATCTGTCTGTGTGTCAATAATACTAAAGAAGTTGAATGTCAGTATTGTGACTATTTGCTGGGGCCTTGAGAGCAGCTTACTTAAAAATCACTCATCTGACTTTTTGTCTCTCCAATCCCCACTGATCTCTCCAGGCAAACTGCATGATGAGACTAAAGGAGCTGAATTTGTTGACAGACTGTACTGCCCTGCTTGTGACAAATGGTTAAAAACCAAAAAAGCGTAAGTGTTTGTGGGTTTGGGAGTGGAGCTTATTGGGCTTTAACTTTTTAAAGTGCATTTTAAACGCTTTTTAATTTTACTGCAAAGACAACACTGAACATTATGTAGAGACATTGTAAGGGCAGAATTTTCTGTACTTAGTAGTGATGGATAAAGGGCTTGTTTATTGATTTTTATGTAAATACAACAATGTGTGCTCAGTTACATGCGGTAACCATCTGCTGCTCTTCACAGCATGAAGAACCATGAAAAATCAAAGAAGCATCGAGAAATGGTGGCACTGTTACGACAGCAGCTGGAAGAAGAAGAAGGGAAATTCCCTGTGTCTCTGGATGATGCGTGTGGATTACATACCAAAGAGGAGGAAGAAACAGAAGACATGCCCAAGCGGAAGTACTTTAAATTGGTTTTAATTTTATTATGACTAATGATTTAAGTCTTGGAGGCTCTCAGAGAGAGCTTCTGATGATTTGTAGTTGTGCTGGAACTCACAGTATTGTGCTATTCAAAATAGTTCTTAGCATCAGAGTAGCAGTAAAATGTATGCATTTGTATGACTGGATCCAAATGTTGTAGTCTTACCTCTTCTCTGCTTCTTAAAGTTATGTGTTAAGGAAAAGTAGTGACTTATTTTTCAAACAGGGGAAATTGCACAGGGCCAGTATTTATTGCTTTGGTACTTCTTTTGGTACTCCTTTGTCAGTTGGATGCTGGCATACATAGAAAATGAGTGTGCTTAAAATCAGAACTGATGAAGTAAGTTGTACAACTTCATTTTTTGAATGGCTCAAAGCATAATACCAACTACTTCACGAGTACCTTTAAGTTCAGTCTAAGCAGAATAAATGTTTTACTAAATGCAATGAGTAGTTTAGGAGAACTGTTTTTATCATTTCAGGCATGACAAATTTTTTATTTGTGGCTACTGTCTTCCTAATGTCATGTTAAGAGGATAACCAAATGGTGTCTCTTGAGAAATTCTACTAATTTCTTTTTTTTTATTCTTGAAAAGAGGTAACTTTAAATTCTTATCTTTACAGACTCTCAAAGAAGCAGAGGAAGAAACAGAAAACAGGGACGGTATGTAGTCATAATGATATTCAAGGGACTTTACAACCCAGTTTTGTTATCTCCTAATGCCCTGGTTTCGGCTGAGACAGAGTTCATTTTCTTCCTAGCAGCTGGCACAGTGCTGTGTTTTGGATTTGGTGTGAGAATAATGTTGTTAACACACTGATACCTTAGTTTTTGGTTAGGAGCACTTATCCTAAGTTAAGGGTATTCCAGTTTTCCATGCTCTGCCAGCAAGCAGGTACACAAGAAGCTGCGGGGAGCATGGCCGGGACAGCTGACCCCAACTAGCCAGAGGGATATCCTGTATCACAGAATGTCATGCTCAGTATAGAAACTGAGGGGAGTTGGCCAGGAAGGGGGGGAACACTGTTTGGGCATTGGTCAGTGTGGGGTGAGTAATTGCATTGTGCATCACTTGTCTTTTCTTGGGTTTTATTTCTCTTTGCTATGTTCATTTTCATTACAATGATACTAATTATTATTGTAATTAAAACAATAGTAATTATTAGAATATATATTTTAATTTTTGTCATTAATCTGTTCTTATCTCAACCCACAAGTTGTGGTTTGTTTGGTGGTGTTTTTTTTTTTTTCTGATCTTCCTACCCATTCCACTGTGGGGAGGAATGAGTGACTGGCTGTGTGGTGCTTAGTTGCCAGCTGAGGTTAAACTGTGACACCCAACTTATTTTTCACCTGAAGAATAAGAGAGAATTTGAAATGCTATAGAACTTGAAGACTGTTTTCAGATAATTTTAATTCTTCTTTGACTGCAAAATAATTTTTATTATACTTACTATGATCATATTTTATAATAATAATCTCATAGACCTCACTTTGTGCAGATTATAATAAATGTGGTGCTGGCTCTTAAAAAGCTAGTCAGAAGTGTAAAGAAAACAAACGGAAACAGGCAGATGGAGAATGCAAGGAATTGATTGGAAAGACCAGCAATGGCCTTAGGTCATTAGCAGCTCAGTTGTTTGGTGGTCACTTTCTACCTCGGTTGCTAGAGTTAATGTATTGTTTTTTAATTTCTAACTTAACATAAACACATGATTTGCATAACACATGATTTGCATCCTACTGACACTGTAGTTGTTGGAACAAACACATCCATTCCACCTTTCACTTGAATGGTAAACAGGAGTAACTGTTGTACTCCAGGATCTGAGTCTGCATGATTTGTCAGGTCTGTGCTGACAGCAGCAGGGTGAAATTCAAGAACGGCAAGTTGTTTCAGGCTCGAATGGCAGGAATGCCATAGTGACCTTCCTCAAGCTTTATCCTTTTCAAGTTTTACCTCTTCTTTACTACCTTAATTCTAGCCTTGTCCAAGTGAGCTATCTGTACCAGGTCCTGCCTCTGCCATCCTTTCCCGAGCTTAACCCCTCTAGCCTCTTATGTGTTTACCTTCTCTGCCTTCTTCCACACCATCATTATCTCATCCTCAAGAAACTTCCCTGAGATTTTCAAGCAACTGCATTTTTCTTGCTTGTCTTTGGCTGGTATTGCATAGTCAAAGTCAGTATTGGCTTGACCCTCTTGTTCCCATGCAGGCCATCAAGCTCCTGTTCAGCTTTTGCCTCCGCAGTTTGCTATCTGGTGATCCGGTTCGCACTGTATAGGTTGCACATAGGCACTGTGTCTGTCTTCTGTTAGTTTGGTTGCAAGGTCTTCTTCAGCCCTGACAGTAGGTGCCACTCTTGTGTAGCATGAGCTGCTGGTATCATGTGCTGATTCTTCTGTAAACAATCTGCACCCTCTACTGAGCTTTAGAGAGTGCATGGAATTGCTATAATTTTTGTTTTCTTTTCCTGAAGGTAGGTAGATTAGCCAAGTTGTTTTCAAGTAGTTGAGACTCTGCAAAAGATACTAAAGGTGATAGAATTGCATTAATGTAATGTTAGGTCAAATTTGTTACCCTTTTGGGAGCTGAACTGTTTTGCTTCAGATGTGCTTAGGGGTTGATTTTTTGCCAAACTGTACATGGAAAAGGCTGCCAGTGTTTCTAATGTTAGAGAAAATACAGTGTGTCCATCTATCTTCAGTCAGCTCAGTTATTATGGCTTAAGTGTCCTAACGCAACTGCCTAGCACAGAAAACTTCATCTAAATAATTAACATTTTGCAAAGCTTTTAGCAAAGATGCTATCTTATGTGAAATGTTAGCCAGAACAGAATGAGCCCAGTGTATAATTAAAAGCTACCTTCAATTTCCTCTTCTGAAATTCTAGAGGCTGTTTTATTGGTGTTTCTACCCTGCCAATCACAGGTGGCCTCATCGTTCAAAACAGGAGAACTAAAGTTTTACCTGTTACAATCTCATTGAAAACACAGTAAAATTAAGAGGGTCCATGGCTTTCTGTTCTCCCCACCCACCCATGTTTGAGGTAAATGAGTATAATACTATAAACATAATCACTAATGAACTTAAAGTAGTTAACTTGCATTTCTTCTGTTTGGACAGATTTATGAGGACTCTTGTGATAAAAGTGCTGATGAAGAAACAGTTGAACAAAAGGAGGTGCCTGACGTGAACAAGGACATTGGCTCAGAAGCGGAATTGCTAGATGATGGTCAAAGATGTGTTGTGTCAGAGGATGCAAGCACTACAGAAGATATCAGCCAAGGAAAAGAGGCAAAAAGTGAAGTGAAAAGGTGTGCTGTGTTGCAGTATTGCAGTCAGTGTGTCATCCTGTGTCATGTTTGCTGTCAACAAGTCTAGTTTTGCTCACCACTGTGTGTTGGGGGCTACTCCACTAAATTACAGTTGAATAAGTATGATACTAAACAAAGAATGTTAGAATCTGCTTTGGAAATGGCATTTGACTGTAGATCCCTGCCACAGCACTTACAAGTAGCTGATTCATCATCTAGCTGAATCATGAGATCAACAATTAATTGTACAAATTAAATTGTTTTAATTTTTTTGCTGGAAGCACTTGCATTGTGTTGTGCAAAGGAAGAACAAAGAAAAGCAGCAGAAACATTAATGACTGAAAACCCTCAGAAGCTCTTACATGTTGAATGTTCCTGTGCACTGGTATTGATTTTCTTTTTGTCTATCAGCAGTACTAAGCCTAAAGAGAAAAAAGCCATGGATGCAAGAAAGTCTGCTAAGTCATCTTCAGCGCACCCAACAACGGTATGTCTACTTACACTATTTAAAAGCTGGTGGTCATATTACTACAAAGAAAGTTGGTTATTTGAGCACCTCCAGTCCACAAATTCTTTGTTTCTTGCATGTTTTTAATAATACACGTATTTCTATCCCTGTGACTTTATTAGAAGCTAGGAGACTGGAACATAGCTCTTGTCCTTGCAGAGAAGAGCAGGACTAAATTTCATTTCTAAGAGTTGCTAAAGCTCTGTATCCAAGGCAGTTCAAACCAAATAAACAACTGAAGACAGAGCTGTTGTTATCAGGCAGTTGGTAGACAGTACTATTTGTGTCTTTCCCAATATTGATGCTTCCCAGAAAGAGCAAAGTCTTGTAATTCACTAAATGGTAAAGCTGAGAGTATTGTGTGTATTGCCAGGTAAGGTCAAAACTATTCTTTATCTTGAATTAGATTTGCATTAGATTTGTTCTTGGTTCTACTTAATACTCTGAAATTCCAAGAAGTTATACTTACGATTTTTTTAAATATACATATTCCACTACTGATTAACATTTCATTGTGTAAGACAAACTGCATACAACAAATTGGTGTTTTACAGTTATTACATATTCTGTAAGAATGTGAAGCATTTTTTTTTCTTACTGTAGAATGAAGTTCCCATCTACTGTGTAACCTGCAACAGTGCATTTCCATCCCGAAATAAACTGTTTGAACACCTAAAAGCCACAGGACATGCAAAAGCGCCACAAGCAACAGCTGCAAGTGAAGCTGAAAACACCAGAAGCAAAAAAGTGAAACGTAAAACCAGAACTTTTTTACAGTGATCTTAAGAATCAGACATGAAAACTCTCCTGAAACTGAAAGGTGCACATTGCCTGTGTTTGGAGTTAGAGAAGGCAAGTCCTGATTTTGGATAAAATGGAAGATGCAACAAAAGGAGTATTATCTGGTGAAGGAACCTGTGCTTTCTATTGTTGGCCTTTCTTTAATGACTGGATGTGACCTAGCATCTCAGCAGCCTTTACACTGGGGGTAGGGAAATAGTAATTCAAAGCTACTCAGCTTGCATTCCTGTAGAAACTTGCACAGATGAAGTACTTGCACAGAGGAAATAATAAATTATTTTTGCATTTATGTTGCAACTTTTTCTTTTGAGAGGGTTTAGCTCATGGTGAGTGCAGCCAAGTGACTGTGCTGTGAGCCTGGGCAGTGCCCCCACAGGTGGGACCCCAGTAAGTCAGGGGAAGGGGCCTGGTGTCACTTCTCTTGACTGACTGGTATCTCAATCACTCCTTGAACTGCAGGGAGAGAAGGTTCCAGAAGTCCAAGAACTGGAGCATAGATAGGGAAATGCGTGAGTCTAGGAGTGACTTTCCACACCAAACACCATGTTGGCAGGTCCAATTGGATCTAGGATTGCTGGTATTTCTGAGTCCTGTCCTACCCTCTCTCTCTCATGTGTTCCCCCATCTTTCACTCTCCCCTCCTCTCTCTTGCTCCCTTGTCCCCACCTTCTCTCTCCCCCTATCCCTCGTTTGCCCACTGTCTCTATCCCCTCTTCTCTTGCCCTCTCCCCCCTTCCCTTAAAACTAATAAGTAACAGTTGAAACTAAGTGATACAAGGCGAAGCCTTTATTTTCCATAAAGCTGCATAGCTTAGGTATAGTTGTGAAAGTGACAACCTTTACAGAATAGTTGTTTCTATTAAAGTTGATACTTATATATGGACCTTGAGCATCATCTCACTTTAGTCCATATTGAAGGGAATTTGTAAATCTGAGTCAACTCTACCCTTCCCCATGTGTGGGATGTGACATTTATTCCCTCAGTGTTGGAAGGTCCTAAGGGATATGGATTCCTGGCTTGTATGGGCAGGGAGAGCCAGGAGGAGACCTTTGAGAGAAACTGGGAGAGGTCTGAGCAGTGGCAAGCCAGGGTTGTCTGAGAAATGCCAGTGCTTTACTGCTCCTGTTACTGAAAAATCAAGGGGGTATAAGACATGCCCTTACCCACTTGGAATGCCATGGGCTTATGCTAATTAGCATGATCTAAAAGCTGTGGCAGATAGAATTACAACACTTGGCAAAGAACAAAAAGTGTGACTGGGGAAAAGGGAAGGTCACTAGGGGAGCAGTGTTGGTGGCAGCTTAAAAAGAGATGCAACTGATTAAGCAAACTAATCCTTGCAAGAACAAATAAAAACCCTGCAAAGCTAACTAGCCACTGAATGTAATACTAGTCAGTGACTCCATGTGGCTCTGTCAGAAGCATTTGGACCAAGAAAAAAATTTACAATCCAAATTAAAGGAAGGGTGAAAAGGGTATTATGACCAGACATATCTTGATTGTTCCAAATAGTGAACTGTGATTTTTAAGCTCAGCACAACTGGCCAAAAAACAGGCACTGGACCTTAGACCCTTGTACCTGACTAAGGAATTAGAAGTTAGCTGAGAAATATTCTACCCCAAAAATGAGGAAGTGATGATGAGATCACTAATTAAAACCAAGACCGCCACTGATAATGGCCAAGGTGGGGGAGCCCTGCAACTTACTATGCAGATGGTGCCATACTTGGCTGCTGAAGTGTCAAAGATCCAGGAAAAATACACCAGGTCAGCTCAAGAAACTGAAATGGAGTATGTATGGAGAGTATCATTGACCAGTGGCAATCAAGTTTTGCTGTCAGAAGATGAGGCCCAGGGGTACTGGGACCAGGGATTTTCCTAACTACTGATCTAAGAGAGCTTTGGTCATTAACTCAACAAGCTGCCAGTTGGAAAGGGAGATCCAGTACATATAGAGACCCCAACCATAAAAAATTTGACCAGAAGGCTGCTTGTCTCTCATTAATGGATGACAGATGTTGAGTTCCTCAACAGCCTTCCCCAATGCTATTAATTGCTAACCCTGATAGAATGACTCCCCTGATTCATGACCTGCCTGATTCTGTGAAACCATATGCAGTAGAACTACAACCAGCCATGGGATGCATTAGCCCCACAAGTCAGGAGATGGGCCTGATGAGGAGGACCCATGGCTTGGGGAGATATAACCCAAGAGTTAATAAATTCTGGTAGAAGGATGGGGATCACGGGGGGCCACAAAATCAAAGACCTTTGTGCGAAGAGTGGAACATCGGGAAAATCTGGGCCATGAGCCTCAGGGGCAAGTAGAAATCTATTGTGGGCTGAGGGAATCAAAAAGGGGATTCTCCAGGTTTTCATGGGTGGTATGCCTACCATGGCCTTAGAAAACCTCATTTGAGCGTAGAAAGACAAAAAGAAGGATCACTGAATTCGTACCTGGGCATCCTATTAATCACTGTTTGTCTTCATGTATATATTTCACAGGTTGTCAGAAGCCCACCGAGTGACTCATGTTTTTGGTTGTTGAGTATTTTCATTGTTTATCTGACTTCATTAGGCCTGGTTTTCTTTTTCACTAGGGAGAGATGGTGTGGGAGAAGTTTATATTCTTATTTTGTGGATGTATAATCTTGTCTCAGTCAACTAGGAATTGGGATAACCAACCCAATTTGGCATGGGAATTGATTACTGGTTTTATCTGAATCTACAACTGAACAGACCAAGGTCTTTGCATGGATCTCTCCATGTCTGCGTCAGTGGGTTTTAAATTTGCCATAATTTGGCCGAATCTCTCACGAATTTTACATTTTAAACCAAAAATATTGTATCAAATGTGTATTCAAAATACACAATGGAAGGGAAAATGTTTGTGGGGAGCTGATTCATCCCCATCCCAAGAGCATAGTGGGACAACTTGATACATACCCTCTCCAGTGATCTATCAATTTCTGGCTAACAAAACCTGGGGACACATGTGGAATGCTACCTGTTGGAAGCAACAGCTCTGCAAGGCAACTACAAATGCTCCCCTTGCAGCCTGAAAGAACTGGACATTTTATCCCTGGGGGGTGATGATCCCTTGTAATCTTGTACTGAATTGGACATGGTATCCCTAGGAGATGGAGATCCCTTGCGATCTTTTATGTTGGTGGGACAGCCCCACCTCACAGTGAACCTCTACAGCACAAATATAATGTCCTGCTACCCCTCCATTGGTGTATTCAAATTCCTGACAAATGGGGTGGCTATGTTCACCATGACCATTCTTGCTATGAATGTCCTTGATCCCTTAAGCATTTTCTGTCCAATCCGGATAGTGTAATTGATGCACAAAAAATAAATGCCTTACCCCTTAATGAATTGCTCACAGGTGATCAGTTGTAAATTGTTAATGTGGGACCTCATATAAACATGATATGTCCCAGAATTACAAACCTTCATTCTGGATGTGTGCTTGTTAGGGTTTTTGGTTCCAGGGTTTAAACCTGGAGATCCCATGTGTAATGGAACTATTATCAATTAAGATACTATATTATAATGTGGAGTCACATCCACAAGACAAAGTGGAATTTTGTGCAGGAAGGGAAAACCAGAATAACAGAACCCTGTGACCCATCAGCATGCTCCACTGCTGAATATCCAGCCCTTCAAGGCACTGTCTGGGCATGTTCAGATGGGAAAATGTACTCACACCTGCATGTACACAGAATGGGGGGGGGTTTACACTGTACCATTGGTACTCCATCAATGTGTCTCTCCAGAACATTTGAGTTTAATGACCCTGAACATAACCAGAGAAAACGGGATGTTCAGACACCTCTGGCAGCACACAAGTAGGTAAGAAGGGTCTGAGCACCCAGTTATTACAGCTGGGGAATGAAAGTGGCCCTTGTGTTTGAGGCCCGTTTCACCCCAGGTGTGCTCCTACAAAGACACCAGTTTGTATGAGAAAATTTGACCCAGCAGGTATGTGTTTGGAGTAACTGGACTGCACATGTTTTTGGAACACTCAATCTGCAAGTTCAACAGGTGTCAAAGATGGCCTTGCAGAACTATGTAGCTCTGGATATGCTCAAAGAACAAGGCATATGTGGAGTGCTGAACCATACGGCTGGAGAATGTTGCGTTACTGTATACAATACTACGACCACAATTGAGGCAGCACGTCAGAAGATGCAGGGAATCACAGCCAGGACGGGAGGCTTATTCCAGTCAATGCTACCGAATGAATGGAATGTGGATTGGAACCCTGTCTCATGGATCTCAACTCTGCTCAAAAACTTGGACTTGCAGGATGGTGGGATTGGATAGCCAAAGCTCTAGTGATGCTTTTGTTAATATTAATTGGCCTAGCTATTGGCTTTGCTATAATAAGGTGCCTGATTAAGCACTTAGTCTCTTCTCTCTCTCTCTCCATCAATATGGTATGTTCAGATCAGCACTGTTGAGGAAGACCTTGGAGTGTCTGAGCCACCATGCAGGGTGTCAATTCTCTTGACCAACTGGTATCTCAACCACTCCTGGAAATGCAGGGAGAGAAGGTTCCAGAAGTCCAAGAACTGGAGCCATAAACAGGGAGATGTACAAGGCCAGGGGGGACTCTCCACACCAAACACCCTGTTGGCAGGCCCAACACTGGATCCAGGACTACTGATCTCTCTCTCTCTCTCTCTCTCCTCTTCTAAGTAACCTTAAAGCTACTAAGTAACAGTTGACATTGTTAAGTGATGCAAGGCTGACCTTGATTTCCAATAAAGCGCATAGCTTAGAGTTGTGAAAGTGACAACATTTACAGACTATTTGTTTCCATTAAAGTTGGTATTTACATATGGACCTTGAGCATCATCTCACTTTAGTCCACACTGAAGAGAATTTGTGGATCCGAGCCACCTATGCCGCTCCCCACAGGTGGGGCGTGGCACCAGTAGATGGGCCTGTGCTTCTCTGATCCTCTATCAAAGATGAAACATCACCAAGACATGGAAGAACACAGGCTTTTCTTCTGCCATCCCCAAGGGCCCTTTCAAATTACTTAATTACATGAAATAGCAGACGTAAGGGAAAGAGTAAGATGACAAAACTGGTTAAGCAGTTTTGACAATTCCTGTTGGTTTTGTATCCCTACCTGCATGCCAGATGTTGGAAAAAAAAGTAGTGGAAGAGCCTTGCTGGAATGAGTGAAGGAGAAACAAATGAGTTACATGAATAAATTTGTTCTTATTTCTAGTGAAAAACAACATGGGAATTGGTATTACACCTCTGCTTAAGTGCATAATCAACCTGATCTTGAGTAGTGCTTAAAAAAAAAAAAAGGAATAACAAATACCTGATTTTGGAGTTGACTTTACACAGTAATTGTCAATGCATCTGGAGAAGCCAGTGCTCAGCAAGGGCTGTAGTACATTGTTTAGGAAACCCCTCGTGAAATTTTCCAGAAGCACTGATCTTTCATTAACTAAGTTCCTCTAAAGTTTCATCTTGACACATAACATGGCAGAATACTCTCCTTCCCCCACAAGTTAACATGGTACCTTTACTGGGTCAAGGAATTATTCAGATGTTAAAATCTGAACGAAAGTAGAATGATAAAAGTACAGCTCTTGCTGATTGTCCACAACACCATTTTTTTTTTTTTTTTGGAAACGTAAGGAAGCAATTAACTAAAACATTAAAAAAAGTGATTACATGAGAAAGTAACACGGCATCTTGTTTCACCAGACAGCGTTTGCATCTTTGCTAAATTACTAATGGGTGTGCTGTACAATCCCACACACAGCAGGAGGAAAAGAAAAGTATCTTTGGGCAGGATGATGACTGGATGAAAGTCCCATGACAAAAATAATTACTGTAATTAGAAACTCTTCAACTTTGTGCAAACTTTCTTTTTTTCCCATGCTCTAATTAGAGGGTAGCGTTGTAGTCAGGGTAAGCAGTTTTAACTCTGTTTGAAATCTCCAGTTGTGTTCTGCTCAGGGTGCTGCTTGGTCAGAGATTGGCTATGCTTATGTAAGTGAAATCTCACAGGCTGAACACTGTAGTAGTACTTTTTGACTTTTTTTTTTTTCTTATTTAAATAAAAACAAATACTTTATAATTTGTGTGTTTTACAAATGCTTGTATGTCTGGGGTATAAATGGCAAGGTTTTGGTAGCAGAGGTGGGGGCAGCTAGCAGTAGTGACTGTTGTGAGACAGTCAAGGACTACCCTGCATGAGTCCCAGCCAGCTCTGCAACACCACACACCAATGCTCAGCTCCTCGGGAGGCTGCGGTGCTTCTGTGAAAACATATTCAAGAACTGGCAGTAAATGCTATGGTACATAGGAACACGGCTGGGGCAGCAGGAGGCGTGCCACTGCACTGCTGGTGCCACCCCCAAGGGGACTAGAGATGCTATAAGGTCCAAACAGTGTACTTCCCCAAAACAATTTTATTATTTTCCTCTCACTCTTTCTAAAGAATTACCCATTTTGGTATGACTTTCATAGATGAAATATGAATCTATGTCTGCTTCTTCATCTGATACCCAGTTAATCCAATCAGGGTTAGTCATACTAATACTAGAATAGGTGTGCAGCTAATACACACCACCACTGTAGAACTGAACTGTATTTACGAAACAGATTAAAGCATATTCTTTATTAAAAAGTGGATCTATCAGACTGCTTTAATAGTACTGAACAAGCATTTCACCTTCAGACTGTGATTTTCTTATCCAGTGTAGATTGGTGCTGAGTCTAGGTGGCCAGTACCAGAGGTTCTGTGTGTGTCTCATGTAAGGAAGCAAATCAAGTCTATTTTGCAGCTGCTCTTTCCGTGTGTCTCTGTAAAGCAGTATGAAATACTTCCACGGCAAAGTCGACATCCTTTTTAGTAATGCACATAGGAGGTTTAATTCTAAATGTCTGAGTAGAGAGAAAAAAAAATAAAATTGTATGGAAAAAATAGTTTCTAGCAGCCCTTTTAGGTCAGTACTCACCTTCTGCCCAAAGAAATCTAATCAAAAGTGTGAAAAAGAGTATCACAGGAGAACAGCAGAGCAGGGACTCAGGCTTCTGATCAGTGCACTCTGAAGTGGGGCAATTTTGGACTTGACTGCATCCAACTCCCCACTCTACTCCTGTGACAACGCAACTGCCTCCAAAGCAGAGCTGACTAGAGTAGGTTCTGTTTGCAGCCCCGTTATTCCAGATAGAGCTAGTATAAAACCTTGGATGGGCTTGTACTAAGAAAGAACAGACACATTGGTGAATTCTTCTTTATGGCAGCTTTGCCACAGGGGAAAGTAGCATCTACTGAGAATGGCAGCCTCCTGCATTGTGTCAGCTGGTTTGCTGTTATATCACAGGCTTTTTTTAAGGCTTCCAAGAGAATGTATTATGAAATAATCCCTAAATACTATTTTCCAAATAGGGTACTATAGCTTGAATGCGTGTTGATCAGGAAGGGATACATGTACAGTTTAACTTGTCAAGAATATAAGTTCTTAAATCCAAACATTTGATCTATATTATAATGTTTCCAAGACTATTTAATTTCTGTAAGAATCTTCGATTTCCAGTTTAAATATTTCTGTCATCATGTCACGGGACTTTATGCAGCAGGAGTAGAATAATGGTCTTTCCTACCCACAGCCCCCACTGAAGCTAACACAGATAAGCAGCACTCTTGTGACACAGAATCAGATTTTACCACACTCTGAGCTGCAGTCTGTTACCCATGTTCTGGACTGTGACTTGCAGAAGAACCAAAGAGGTGATAGGTGCAGCATCCTATTTATTTTAGCCATCCTGCATGTATTTCATGCAGATGCTGCTTCCTCTATGTCAGAGGGCTTCATTAACTGGACCAGCCCTGAGACAATTCTATGCTGTAAGCAGTTGGTGACACAGTGTCCTGCGTACAGCACTTTGCCTCTTCAATTGTTGTGGGCTGGTACCCATTCACATGCAATTCTCACTTTTGTGCTGTGTTGGGGAACTTGCTATTAACAACTCTTTACTTTTCTTTTTTTTTTTTTTTTAAATTACCACACAGGTAGAATGTTACCATTCTCCAGATTGTAAGAACTAGCAAAACCAAACCTGCTCTGTACAACAGGCCAGGTGATAATCTGATCAGTAGCAAAGACTTAGCAGGCCTGAATATTGCTGATTTCTTCTAATTTACATAGACTATAGTTCTTCTAGGGGAAGTTGTCCCTCTAAGGGAAAACTCAAAGCATAGAGCTAGTTCAGCATACTTGAAAACAATCAAACAGCTCCTGCCCGATTTATAAAATGAGCAAAAATAAGCAGAGATGGTTCCTAGAAGTAGATGCTTTCTAGTTTATTTACTAAACTAAAGTTAATTTAGCTTGAGAGAAACAAGATGTAGTTCATAATGACAGAAAATAAGCTTTATGCATAACCAGAGGTTCAGTACCTGACTGTAGAGTCCTCCTCTGCCAATCAGAACCCCCATGTCTTTACAGTCCTCCCAGATCTGATTGATTTCTTCAGCTGGAAGAGGGTGGCGACTGTCCTAAGGAAAGTGAACATTAAACTTCACTTAGATATTCTAAATTAGTTCTATGAAAAATACGTATATTCCAGTCTCTCCAATAAATCCCACCCCCATCTCTGGCTGAAAACATCAGCTGCATAATTTATCTGCTTTCTAAAATGAGTTTATGCAATTAAGGTACACAAGTCACGGTTTACTCAAAGCTTGTGAAGTATTTGAAATGCTGGAATGTTCTGGCTCATTTGCATAGCCAGAGCAATGTTTTCTTACCACTAGCTGTTTCTTAATAGAAAATATTCCTATTATATCAACTGAAATAAAATGTGATAAAACTTTCAACAGCACTGTAAATTGAAAGGAAAAATTAAATCACAAACCTTATCTGTCACCATTTCTACTCCAATCATAAGTCCCTTGCCACGGACATCTCCAACAATCTCAAATTTATCCCGTAGTTTGGCCAATTCTAGCAGCATGTATGTTCCGACATCCTCACTGTTCTTTTGTAGACCATCTTCTTCAATAGCCTGGTTAAAATTATGTACTATGACAGTGTTGCAGGAAAAGCTTCCAGTACAGTCACTTAATCCCCCCATTTAGCTTGATGACACTGTATGGTTATCTCACTTCTGTGCAGACTATGTTCCTTCACTACTACCATCCTCACATTTTTCTTCTTCTATAATCCTCTAATGACATCAGAGTACAATTGAACTTAATATTTTGACGATGCTGTGGCATTTTTCACATTTTACTTATTATTCCATAAACATAATCCAGTAATTAATCTCACATTTGGTCAAAACAGAAAAATACCTGACCAGTGGGATTATTTTCAAAATTTTACCAGAAATATTTTAATGCTTTCTCAGTATCATTAGAAGAATACAATTTGACGAGGCACACCTATGTGTACTAGCCAGACTTTTAGGGAACAACTTGAGAGTTTTAATTAATTTTTTAATCACAATCTTTTTTTTGTTCCTTACTCTGCTCTCCTCAAAGTTCTGACATACAGCCAGCTGTGAGCACTAACACACACAGCCATTTCATGAACTTGATATCTGTGTTAAGAAAATTCACATGAGAAAACAAATAAATAGTTACAGAAGTTAAAGTGGGTGTTTCCTATTTTTACTTTTTTGTGTCTTTTATTTCAATTTCATTTTACTCTTCCTGACTCTGACAACCTCCTTGGACTTATTTCAAATCCAGGCTCCAAGTTACTTCAGAGCAAAAAACCCCAAAACATGGGTTCAGACCTTCTTATCTATAAACTGTTTTTTCAAAATATTTTTATGATCAACCATCCTACAAAATAGCTCCAAAATAATTCCCAAAACACTCTGGAAAGTGTCTGCTGTAAGTACGTGAGATTCAAGGACAAATGCTCTGTACATGAACAAGACAAATTAAATAGTAACCTACTGCCCACTGACTGATTTTCTGGATAATAAGTGAAATACATTGCAAATCTTTCTATTGTCTTTTTCACAACAGATTTTTTTTCAAAGGAATTCTGACCTTAAATATTTTTAACTATCTGGTCATTAAGGCTTTTTGAGCATAGGATAAAAGCTGTGGAGTTAAACAATTTGTTAAGCATGTGTGCTAGAGAATAAATTTGGTATAGTTGAGGATTTGCATAGTCCTATGAAAGAGTTAGCTAAGGCTTTTGAGAAAATGCTTTCCTACATTTTTATTAGCAAAGTAAAGAATGTAAGAGAGACAAAGATGATTCTGAAAACATAATTAGAGGACTCCTATTCTTGCTAGAGGGATGAAAATTTTGCAGTAGAACTAACTGGCAATTTTTCCTACACATACGGCACATTGGCTATGTATGCATAATACATGCGTATGTTTATGAATTTTATACAGTTATTTAAAAAATTTCCCACATATAACTTTATAGTAAGAATAAACATAAACATTTGTCATCTTTTGCTACAAGAAAAAGTGTGGAATATATAAATTTGTATTATGTTCTCCCTACGTCAAGAACTGCAGCTCCAACTACACAGGCCAAAGGGCTTCCTCCAAATGTATTAAAGTGAAGGTTTTGAGCCAAGGAACTTGCGATCTCTAAAAGAAAAAGAACAACACTGATTACTCTTACAGTTGCGTTATGTTTGGTAACAGTACTTATCTGCTTTAACTGAACTGCGGGGTTAAATATGCTGTGCTTTAACCCTGATTCTACTGGAGACAACACACTAGGAAGATTTTTTTTTTTCCTGCAAGTAGTCTGTACAAAAAACTATTGTGTCTAGCAGATGCTAAAACGAGACCTTTTTAAAAAAGTCACACTTCTAACATATGCTGTCAATTGTCCCCTTAAACTGACATCTACAAATTTTCTTCCCTAGATTCAGACAGTCATTTGTATGAATCAAGTAGTTCGCTAACATGCTGCCTTACATACTTGCAGTACATTGATTAGTAAAACGGTATATTCAGTGAGGACCTCCAGGATCTATTACCAGCTCTACCAGTCTCACAAGGTCATCTCTGCTTCAGTTATACAACTAACCCCATTTAAATAAAGCTTTGCACTGGTATAGCACAGCACTTGGATAAACAAGTGAACAATAAGAATCTAATTAATTTGGCAAAAGATAGATTGAGACAAAGATCATTAATAAAGCTCAGCTGTTTGAACACATATCTCTCCAGGAAGTAATTATTGCATGGCATCCTCTGTAACTGCTCTATTTTAAATCTTATCAGAACAATTATACCTTTTGTTGTAACAACAGCTGCCATTGGAAAGCCATTACCAATTCCTTTTGCCAAAGTAACAATGTCAGGGAGTACACCATGTGTTTGAAACCCCCAGAAATGGCTGCCTGTCCGTCCAAATCCTGTCTGTACCTTTCGAAAGAAAAATCCAGAGAAATCCCCATCACTTTCTCACATTTGACAATATGATTTCTTTTTCTCTTTCTATTGTTTCTGATTTGCCTTCAACTGCAACTTCATCTGGAGTCAACTTGTATTAGGATCCTTATTCAGATGGCTTTGCACAGAATACTGCTTCTTGTAACTGGGTTTTACTTTCACATTTGAAAGAGATAACATGTCACCATTTCTTAGGCATAGTGAGATGCACAAATAAACTGCTGCTTCCATTTCAAAGATGGAGAAGAAATGCAGTTGCTTATCACATTTCAAAAGTAACCCCATGATTGCTGATTTCTGCTTGAGCTATGTATCACCATCACTTTGAAACATTTGCTACTATTACAAAATAGCTTTAGCTAAGCAAATTCTATTGAGAAAATGTACTTCCAGAGGTGTAGCAATCAACTCCCTTCTAGAGTTTATATATGCCAACAACACTCGTAAGAGGAAGTGTTATTCTGATGAACCAAACATCACAGCTGGCATTTATTAGCTGCGTATGTATGTAAATTTACTGCTACTGAAAGGTAAGGACTGAAGTCTGCTACTAACATTACCCATGTCTAAAATCAGAATATCACATAGCAGAATAAAAGCAGTAAAAACTGGGAGGCTCCTATACTTTGAAAGATGTGCTGTGTTATAACTTGAGCTATGAAGTGTATAGCATTTAATGTAGATTATTTTCAGGCTTCCAGTTAGCCTTCACTTGGATTCTTATGATGAGTTCCATAGGTACCCCAAACTCTAGAGATCATATGTAAAAAACAACTCACTTCATCTGAAATACAAACACCCCCTCTTTCCCGTACTAGCTGATAAGCTTCCTTTAAGAAATTTCTTGGGTACTGGACAGCTCCATTAACACCCTGCCAAAACAAAAAAGACAGTGTCTTCAGGAATGGACAAGAAAACAGGAGTTCCAAAGTGTGATTATCCCACAATAAGAAAAAAATAGCAGCAGCCCTCAAGTAAAAGGAAGATAGTTGTCTCAAGTTTCTGGCTTCAACAGTGAAACTGCTTCAAAAAGCTCCCGCTCAGGTCACTCATTCCCATTCCACATGGCAGTTTGGTGTTTCTATTAATTGTGCTGGTATAAATGTTTGTGAGGCCATACTATAAACTGGTTCACTATAAGACAGAGTCTATTAAAGATAAACTGCCAAAACAAGTACCTTGAAAACATACACAATGAGAAACCCAGAAACTATGTTTTATGACAAAGTTAACCAGAAAATTCACATCCCTTCTTTGGTTAACTTGTTTAAAACATTGTTTCCTCAACTTCTGTTCACCTTGCCAGTTTTCATGTGGATCAGAAATGCCACTCTACACCTGGACTGCAATAGCTTCTTAGACTTAAGTCTGCAAAGGCTTAGAAGACAGCAAAACCAGAAAACAGCTCCAATTTTCTCTATGGTCACAATTCCCACATTTTTTATCTTGCTTTTCCTGTTCCCAGGATATAATCTCCATTTTTCCTATTTAAGAACCACATACACAGCAGTTCTTTAATGGGTGAAGCACCAAGAGAATGCATCCTGTGGCCACCACTTGCTGGAGAGCTGCTAAAAATATAGTGGACAACATGGCTGGGAAGAGGTGGATGGAGGATTGTGTTAAAGTTTACAGAGATAGTAAAGAGAAAAGCAGTATAAAATTTGGAAGAAGGTAGTACAAACTAAACGATAACGTTTATCATACTCACTATTTAAATGCAGAAAAAGTATATGTTTAATCATGATTCTCTGTTTAGTTTAACTTCATGAGCAAAATTCAGTGACAAAAGTTGAACTTTTAAGACAGTCCATTCTTCCAAATATTTAAGGCATTAAAAAAATAATAAAAATCAGCAGAAGTCTATGTTTAGGATGCAGCTAAGGAATATCATGTTTGAATGTTTCATGCTATTTGTGCTATCACAATTGACAAATTGCAAACTACCTACCTGAATTGGTTCAGCAATAAATCCAGCTATTGCCTTTGGGACCGAGGTATTCAGAGTATCTTTGAACTGTTCAATGTACTGGCCATTTGCATGACATACACCTGATTGCAGGGGAAGCAGTTTAAAGGGAATTTAAATGACACAAAACTAGCTTCAAAACACAAAATTACATATCTAAGCAACAAATATTATTTGACTGTATGGTAAATACCACCTCTCAAATACACAATAAAAGGCTAAACATTAAAGGAGAGATTTCCTTATTTTCTCTTAAATCATTTATATTCTATGGAATGTCCCTTCCAAAACAGCAAGGCAAAGCTGCCAGACAATAAAATGTTGCACATTATACAGGTCAGTAAGCTGCAGGTTAGAGAAAGTGTTTGTGAATCACCTACATCAGCAGAAGGAATAAGCAGACACTTTTTCAGGGATTAATAAGCATCAGCATAAGACACAGGGAACCATTAGGTTAGTGCAGGTATGAGGTTTCTGGAGAATACAGCTGCGTATCTGAAATAAAGGACAGAGCAATTAGTATAGTTAATGCTCCTATTCAATAGGGACAGCTAAGCTAACAAGAAATCATCATGTGTGGATGGGAATCAAAACACTAAAGAGTGCCTGTTGAAACAGTGGAAAAAAGTACTGTAATTGTTGCTAACAGGGAAGCAGTAGAGGAGCTTTCATACTGTGCTGCATACAGAATGTTTTGCCTCAGATATGACTTTTTGCCCATCGCTGGCTTCAGGTTGTCCTTACTATTCATCTCATTCCAGAACAAAAGCTGGAGAACTGTCAAAACTTCAGAAACAGTAGAAAACACTAATCAACATTTCTGTTCTTCCAGATACGGAAGTTCAGGTGAGTACCACAGCTTCCAGAGTTGATCGTGACAAATGCTGGAAGCAAAGGCTGGGATTTTAAGAAGAAATCTGAGAATATGAGGTGTCACCTGTGCAAAATTTTCTTAGTGAGAAGCTGGTGACTCAGGTTCTCTGCAGTATTTGCTTTGGATGCCCTGGCAAATCCTAACCAGAGGTCTACCTTTCTTAATGAAGTAAATATAACCTATTTCCACAGCCTTCTACTATTCTCTAATCTAAAAGCCAAATACTTCCTTGTCATTGACCAACCTTCAGAACAGCTGCATTTTCGAACAGCTTGCACTGGAGAATCTCTACAGTGGCTGCCTCCCCATGGACCACGAAAAACATCTGGTAACATTGTCTGTCAAGCATAAGAAAAATAGCTACAGGTTTCATTATGCCTTTCTAATAGATGTTTTGATCATACTTAGGGATGACTAATGAAAAAAAAAATTAAAACAAGTCTGTTAAGAGTGAAAGGGCTCAAGCAACTTGTCTGAAGATTACTTATGGAATAATACTGAACTTCTTTCTCCATCAAGAAATGGCAGAATAGTTTTGGAACCAACAAGTTTAGACTATTCTAGCAAGTCACTCAATTGAGGATTTCCTTTGTTTTGTTTTGTAAGCTACTCAGTAGTCTTGGTTATCTAAGATTAACAGCAACACTTTTAGAGCTGCTAGTAGTATTTCAACAATCCAAAGTATGATAAAAATCTGCAAAATACAGGCGGATCTAGTAGAGTAATTACAGGCTGTAAATTGCCTTCTAATTCTGACTACTGATGAAATACCACATGACTTCAGGCAACTCATTTACCCAGCCAGGTTGGGATGCTGCTAGAAAGGAGCCTTCCTATAGCCAGTGCTGTGGCTGAGCTGTCAGCAGGGCAGATCAGAGTAGCCAGTGCCAGCTTCTAGTAGACAGAAAGACATTTCCATCTGCTCAAGGGCAGGGAGATAAGTTATTGCCATTTATACTCAACGGATCTGCCTAACAGATAAATCTCCTGTCTTGCTGAAATGAGGGACATCATAGGTTTTTTCTTTCATTCCAGGGGTAGACCTACTTCAGACCAGCTGAAAGCAGCCTCACACAGATTTGCCAAAACAAACTTGAGAGAAGAGGTTCTGAGCATTTCTATTTTGCACCTTACACAGGCTTCCATGCAAGCACCAAGCATGACTGAAGAACTGTAGAGCATGACCACTTGTATTATGGCTGTCCCAACTCAAAATTAGCATAAGCAACTATACCGAGAAAGAAAGGGGACTCTGGCTCTTGTGCTCACACAGAAGGAACAGCTACACTGCAGTTTAGTTAGTGACCATAAAGCACTTTGAGGATAGAAAACACACTAATCGTTGAAATCTTCAAAAAAACCTGTTACCCACATTATTTAAAAAAAAATAATAAAAATCTCACTGTTGAACAGCCAAAGCCATTGGCGACACCGTGCTTATAAAGACCAATAGATGTCAATCCCAGTGTGTAAGGGCTGCCTCCATGGTATGCTCCTCTGTGCAAAAAAACAAAGCACATGAACATCACTCACTTCCAAGAAGAGACTGTATCAATATCTGTTCTGAGAACACATGCTTTTGACACTCAAATTATTGGGGAAAATGTGTATTGTTACACACAAAACAAAAAGGTTCCTACTGCCATTTTTTGCTCTGGTTTTGAAAGAACCATGACTGCCCATCTGTAATTGGTTTCCTGAAATTTAAATGTTAAAATTGTGAGGTAATGTTTGCAAGGAGAAGAGAACAATGATTGGAAGCAACAGCAATTCAGTCAGTGCCTCACAAAGTTCTGCTGTAGCACCTGAGCCCTATGGAGCAAACATCAATGTTCTCTGAATCTTGGGAACTGCTTTTCTCTCCAACAGATGCTGCTCACCATTAAACTACGTGGTGGTTTGTTGCCAGTTTTATATAAAACCCAAAAGTTCATTAATGAAAATGTACAAGCAAGGTGGGTACCCAATGTTCTGCTGAACAGAATAACAGAAAAATACAGCTCTTCATAACAAGGCCTTCTATTCTAATATTTGCGGCTGCCTGGGATCCGTAGTAAAGAGAACTGCTTACACTGATACTTACATAGCACTCACCCCTGCACCACCTCTGTTGTTAAGCCAGAAGAGCTGTTTGTGTACCTCTGCAGTGAACTGCGGTTCAGGGATCTGGCAGAAAAATAAGGCAGCAAAACAAACAACACAGAAAAATCCCTCTGCCAGGTTATCTTTCAGCCAGAGCAGTTCCCTGCTGTGGTTCACCGCATGGCTCTTTCAGATGTACCTTTGTACCCCCACAAAGCAGGGCACTGCAGGGGTAGAATGAAGAAAGTAGAAATTGCTGAAGCCTGCTCTGGCCCTGAATGAAGGTCCACCGAAGCACACCCTGAACACAGAGACTAGACCCTTTTCTAAGTACAAAAGCAAAAATTGCACATTGTGTTTTGTATGCAAGCTAGTCTTAATATACTGCATCAATTCATCAATTCCTGTTTAACTCCTCTTTGTCAAATAGAGAAATTTTATAGCGTTTTCCTCAGCACATCTGGGGTTAAAGAGTTCTCTATTATAATTTCTTGGTTTAGGCACATATAGACTGATCACGTAAACAAATGAGTTTTGTAAAGCTCTATCACCATTACCTGAAAGAGATGATGTCGAAGTTACGAGTATATAGCCTTGCCATGAACATAGCCAAATCATTGGCTTCTGACCCACTGTTGGTTAGATAAACCACCTACAGGAGAATGTTTATGATCAGTACCATGTACAACCACCACCTTGTTTGGCATTAGACCATGTCACTGAGTAACATTATGAGCTATAACACATCAATACCACAAGGTGACTTCACCACAATAAACTTAGTGTTGCCTATACACTATAGATGAAAACTAAGATCAAGTTGATATACTCAGGGAGAGAACAGAAAAATCTTTAAGAGTTGGACTTGTTAGGTTTTCTTAAGATGGAACCAGTGATTCAAAGAAAAATGGAAGTGTCTGGGTCAAACTGAGCATGACTGGCTGAACAGAAATTACCTTCATACAGGTGAAAAGGGCTGTAAAGTGTCCCCGCATGCTGGTTACTTGGAGTGACATACACAGACACAACCACAGAACAGAAAAATTAAGCAGAGTTTGCTAATTGGGATCAAATGAGGATTAAGGATATCCTGAATATAAGTTCTGAGATCTAAAAACAGCTCAAATTTTAGTGTCATTGTTTTTAAAGTTAATTTTCAGAAGTGACTGAGATTCTCCACTGCTTAAACTACACAGATGCTTTAAATTTTTCTTTCTTTTCTTTTTTTTTTTTTTAAACTCTCCTTCTGTTTTTAGGATTGCAATTGTTTCACCCTCTTCTGCTAGCCCAATTTCATTTTATAACCAGTTTATTTGGACTGGAAATAAACCCAATATTTTTTTTTAACTGTTTCTGGGCATACAAAATGTGACATTCATGTGGTTTATTTATTTGTCAGTAAAGATCACTACACAAAGTACACTGGCTACATATAAGTAGAGTTAACATCATCTTAGTTCAGTAATTTTGAAGCCCGCAATGCCCTTTCACAGCAACAACTGGAGCAAGAGAACCAACAGAAGAGGAGCTTGGGATATGCTTGTCTACATCTGGGTCTAAAGAAAAGTCCTTGAGGGTCATTTATCTGACAGTCTGTAGGTCCCCATACAGGTTTTCTCTCCACAGATATCATGGCTCTCTCATTCAGTAAATATTTTTATATTAAATATTTCTTACAAACAGACACACCCTTCACCAGCCCCTCCTCCTGTCAGAAGCAAAGTACCTTAAGTGGATCTGGAAGAAGAGAAGTTAGCTTTTCAGCATACTCCTGGATTGATGGGTGCATGTAGATATTAGCTGTATGCCACAGGCGAGCAAGCTGTTTCTGAGTAGCCATAGTTACCTTCCTGCATGTAGCACAAGAAGAGACAAAGGGATTCAATTCTACACGCAGGTGCACTCATACATGCACATACCTACCTGTTACTCATTCTGAAAATGCAGACACTTTTTGAAGTGATTTCTGAAAATCCACCATTTGCCAGATGGATGAACAAGCAGACAAAATCAATGAATTCTTCAAAATGTAGTGGAAACTGACCTTAATATAAGTGATATATGACAATTCAGTGCATTATATCCTAGGCTCACAGTTTTAGGCTCACAGTGCCAGATTAACAAAGAACAAAATGAACAGAGGTATCTCTTCCTGTATTTAGTACCATAAATCAAAGAGTGACATACTTACGGGTGACAGTGACCAACACTGACAGTGACAATTCCAGCGAAGAGATCAAGGTATCTTCGTCCTTCATAATCAAATAACCACTGCATATAGCCTTGATGTAGCAACAATGGCTTCTTGTAATATGTTCGCAGTGAAGGAGAAATACTTTGTTCACGAATCTTCTGCATACGTTCATATGGATAGGACTGAATGGAATAAAAAAGTCAGTATCCATTTATGCTTTCTAAAAGTCCAGACTAATGAAGCTGTAGTGGATCACACAGATTATACAGCTGTCTACAGCAGCTGTTCACAGAACTAACATTTTAACAAATTCTGGCACACAGAGGGTTTGACAGACCTCTGTCTGAAACAAGACTGCGGTTATGCACTTATGTCTTCCTTAAGGTTTTTCAAATCAACAATTTAGCCATAAATTACAGAACTGTCAAGCAGGTAAATCTACAGGTTATTTCCTGGCTATAACAGAATTGGTTTTTGACCAAACAATGACATTTTAGACGCATATTTAATGCACTGACTATTTATAGCAGATGAGTCAACCATTCAGATCTGGTAATGCAGTCTTACTTAAATTCTGTGTAGTATGTGTGACTTACTTTGTATTTTTCAGGTACAAAATCGCAAGGAGGCATTTTTGCTTGGATGGAGACAGAGCTTTTCCATTTCTGCAGCCTAAAGGCAACTACAAAATAGTAAGAGAATTATCAAACACTGATAAAAGTAGACATCTGAAGGAGTTTCTCAATAGGCTTGTTTAGAGAACACACAAGCTATGATGAAAGTAAGATTTTTTTTTTTTTTTTGTCTGAAAGATTTTCTTGGGGGAATAAAATTATTAACATCTTTGTAAAGGCAAAATACATGTAGATTAAAAAAAAAATAAATAGGTGCTTCTCTCTTTACCCACTAAAACTCAGTTTTCAGTTTCACATGGACTTCTATCTTGACAGAAAAATACTTCAAAAACCCCCAAACTGAGTTTCTAATAGAAATTCTTATCTGGGAACTGCAAGAGCAGGAATCCTAATCCTAAAAGGGCATGAGCCAGTAGTCCGGGGTGACTGCAGCACAGGGGGTGCTCTCAGAGTCCAGGGTACAGTCCCAATAGACCTAAACACGGTGGGCAGAGCAGGGTCCACTGAGTGCCCCACACAAATGGAGGAGATGAATCAGGTCCAGGGTCCACCCAGGTAGCCCAGTCAGGAGCAGCAGCAGATGGGGCCAGAGACAGGACTCCAGACAAGGCTACAGCACAGGTCCAAGGTCCGTTCAGGAGACAGGGCCAGGGGCTGGACTGGTGGCAAGGTTATACTCGTGGCACAGCAGGCTCGGGGCCGAGCTGAAACAGGGCTCCTGGGCAGCCGCATCGGCAGAAGCCCCAGCTGAGGCTGCTCAGGGCAGACAAGGTGTGCTCAGGACCCTGACCACTATCACTGCCACCGTCCCTCCTCTTTCCAAGACCCTAAGAACGTTACACTGTCTTACCTTTCATTTAAGTGAAAGTGTAATTAAGCAGGCATCAGGAAAAGTTATCATTTAAATACATTCTCCTTCTGCATCCCTAACATTATTTGCATTTGTTTTTAGAAGTCTAAGGTTTTAAACAATTTATAAACCACCTCAAAATGTAAATGCTCGAAGAATGAAGTTTCCTGAAACAAATTACATACCCTTACAACCAGTTACAATACTAATGAATTAATCATCTACAAGGGTCCAGCCTCAACAAGATGAGCAAGTTAGAGAAGTCCTGCCTTTGGATATCTGTCAAAGGGATCTACAGCTACCCCCACAGTGCCTCTCCCCCCTCCACGCACAAACGCGATGCCGCAACCGAAAGTCCCGAGGCGAGCCGCCTCTCGGGGACACACGCTGACCCCCCGCCAGGTCTCCCCCGGCCCAGGCCCGCGAGGGCTCCGCGCTCGGAAGCTGCTCCCGCAACGACCCTGGCGGGGCCCAGCCCTCAGGGCGGGCAGAGCCACCCCCGGCCCCTCACGGCCCCCCGCCTCTCCCGCCCGCGCCGGCCCCTCACCGCCGCCCAGCCGCAGCCCGCCCGCCGCCGCCATGTCGGCTGGTCAGACGCGCGGCTCCGCCCGCGCTGGCGGGCGCGGCCGCTCGCGCGGCGGCCGTTGGCTTCCCGTTGGTGTCGTCGCGGTTTGTCCCCGCCTCAGTCGCTTTCGGGCAAAATGTGGAGGCGCGGAGAGGAGCGGAGGGGCTGTTGGTGGTGCGGCTTTTGTCCCTGCAGAGCAGCGGCCGCTGGGCGAGCACAGGCCGCCCTCACACCGCAGTGCCCGGGTGGCTGAGGGCTGCAGCCTGCGCTTGGCCCGGGCAACGACGAGTATGGGCCAGACTGGCAATACAAAGCCACATCAGGGAAAAAAAAAAAACAAAACACCAAAACAACAGACTGGGGTGTTACCTTTAAATACTAGGTGGACGAGAAAAAAACTGAAAGATGTGAGAGGGATAACTGATGACCCGTTTCTTCCTTTTTTTTTTTTTTTTTTTTTTTTTTTTTTTCTTTTTTACTTAACAACTAGAACCTCCTTCAAGGATGGGAAAAGTGGAAAGCTTCTCCATTACCTTCCAGTTTCCCGTAGTACTAAAAGAAGTAAGGTTTATGATGGCATTCCCCAGAATGGTAATTCGTATGCACTGTAACTAGACACATTGTGAAAGATACTTAATAATTTTGGTGACCGGTGGATCCTAAGGCAGAAGGCTGACTACCTCACCTGCCCCGAGGGGCAGACCCAGTTTTGCAGGAAAACTGTCTGATCTTGCTGCAGAGGGTCAGATTTGTACTTTCTACTAACAGGGCAGTGCTTATGTACTTAGGACTCCCAAATGGTCAACCTTTCTCAACCAAACGTTACTTTTGCTAACTTGAAATACCTGAATTTCAGTGACAATTTTCATCAACACAAAGAGTCATAAAGAATCATGAGTATAAAAGTTGACTTGGTGCATAAGCCATCTGTGTTAACCTGTTTGATTGCTTGGTGCATTGCAGTGGGTTAAACACATCTGTATGGAGCCTTCCACATGTAAAACAGTGGAACCCTGTCCTACAAACTGCTGGCTGTCTGGCTTTTCATTTTTATATATTACATACTGGAATTGTTATATTTCATGAAGAAAGATAGCATTTGTGATTTTTTTTCAAGAACTTTTATTAAATTGAAATGCGAACACCATTGCAAAGAGATTTTACAATGACAAAAGATTGAAAAGTCCATCAGGAAGCTACAGACTTCAGAACAATACTGATTTTACGACTGAAATCACTAACAGATTTTATTAAAGCCAGTATTTTCAATATTAAGAACTTAAAAAATACATTTTAAAGCATTTTCCTTCAGATACGCTTAGAAACAATGAATTCCTGAGCAACTATTTTTATACCAGTATTCTCCAACCAATGTACATACTGTGTATGAAATATACTTTCTATAATTTCATAAACTTTAGAAATTTACAAAACATTTGGATCTGGTTCATAGAATAATTGTGCTTCAAGTCATTCTGTTGCTACATTAATGACACTATGATAACTTGAATGTTCCAGATTGCATAAAAATTCTGGCATTGTAATGGAAAAAATGCCTAGCTTGTATTGCAAGGCTAGCAATGAAATGGTTTATGCAAATGGGAATAAGTTTGCTTTAAATATTGGATCATCTCTTTCTCTACTGGAAAGTATGCTGTTTATTCTGTGTATTATTCAGAACATGCAATTTAATTTACGAGTATGTTCCTTTGAGAGATCTGCTGGCACAATTAAATGCAAGCAAGTTCCAGAGACTTTTACCTACACTTAACAACATCGCAGAAATTTGAACAAATACAATTAGTTAATGACTGCTGACATGTTTTTTCTGGGCAGTACTTTTTCAGACCAGCACCCTCAGTATTGCTATATTTTACACAATGACTAAAAAAATACATGAAGCACAATATAAAGATTTCAGGAGCCCAGATACTGCTGAGTATTGCTGAGCAATATAATGCATATAGGGAACTGTTGGGTGGGTTATTCCAAATGATGAGTGCTATTTGTAGTCGGAATAAGAAAAATTACTTTCCACGATGAAAAAATAACACTAAAGCAGCCTGGGAGCTCTTTCTGAGTATAGCTGAGCAGTAGTTTCCTCTTCCTTTGGGAAGGAAGGACACAGGGATGAGAATAAAGAGTAGTCTACAGCATTAGAAAGTATGCTTTGACATCTTTATATTTCTGCATGTATTCCACATGTAGAAAAAATTGCTTCTTCCTAGACATGTATAATTTTCTGTCCTAATGAAGGGGTATTTTCTACAAGTGACTTCTACAGAGATTTCCAGCATTCTGTAAAAATTTCACTCAGTGCCACATGTCTGTATAACTGACCATTGCAGTCTTTCTAGAAATGGAAGTGAAATCTTTCCATCTTTACTGATCTCAAAATGAGGTGAAGGTACTCAGCAGCTCACAAAAACAGACCCAAAAGCAGCACTGTCCAAAAAAAAAGTTAATTAAAGACAAGGTCCAAGATGAGCAGCATTACAAGGTAGAACAGGACATTAAGCCTTCCAAAAATAAAAGAGGAAGATGTAAAAAAAGACTTCCTTATATCCAACTTCCCTACACACCAACGTCTTGAGTATAAGCCCAGATTTTAGCATATCAGCACTGCGAGAGGCCACAAAACTACTTCAGGTATTTTTCTTAGTTACTATTGACAGGTATAATAGTTCATCTTAAAAGCATACCATAAGTGAGAGACATGTATTTTAAGCCTGAATTGGTAATTTTCCAAATTTATCACCACGACAGGAACTTTTTGACTGAGGAAAATGTTAACAGATGCATTGTCACAGGTACAAGCTAAACAATGCTCAGAAATGCCAAGAGACCATTTAGTAGTACCCACAAACTCCTTTTTCTCCTGGAGCATCTAGGTCATTACATTATCTTTCATAAATAAAAAATAGAAGAATGCTTAAGAATGATAGGCATATGTGTGAGACAACATAAATGGAGAAATACACTTCATCTGTAGATCTGTCTGACTAATTGAATGCTGCTTTTAGAAACCGTGTGGTATACTTTATCTCTCTTTTTTCTTTAGGAATGTAGGAAATGCAACAGCAGATCAGATGAGAGGTCTAGCTCTTCAAGTATTCTGTTTGCCCAGGACAAATGTCAGATATGCAGAAGAAAGAAGAAAATCCTGTGACTAACAGTGAATAACCACTTCTCATGTGTAGGACTTTTTCTGCTCATATATAATAGCTGGTTTGTAGAAGCTGATTTCAGCGTTTTGCCAACTCTCTAGCATTTAATAAGGTTTTACTGCTTTTGTGGACTATCTCAGGTAGCTGTGCATATTCCCACTTCTTATATAAAAGTATTTTCTTTTTTCCTCACAAACTCATATATCACTCTTCTTAGTTCTACTAGTTCTCATTTTCTCCTATCTTACATTTGATTCTTTTGCTTCCATTTTCTACTCTCCCCCTCTTCTCAGCTGTAGTCGAAAAGCATGCTTAGCCCCTCCAATTTCTCTAATTATCTACCTGTGTACCATCCTATAGTGACTGTACTCCTCTTCCATCTGCCACATGCAGCAACAGTGTCCCTCTTCCCATCATTGAGCTCTCTTTTTATCCCCACATATTATGTGTTTCTGTATTCTATTTATCTTTAATCTCCTGCTTGTCATGCACATGAAGATGAAGAAATTCCCTTATTTGTTTCAAAATGGTTTTCAAAGCAGGGGCACAAGATTGTTCCAACTGATGTAATTCAGTCCATCTTTCCACACCAACAGGAACTGGAGTCTGAATTTAGTATGAGGGTTTGAGATAGTTGAAAGCAGGGCTAGTCTCCATTTTCACTCATTTAGGGACAGAGTTTGAAGATTTACTTCTCAGGAACTCAGATGAAAACAGGCCTTTATAAATAGCAAGTACTGAGAAATGCTTAGTTCCATTGCTGAGATCCAGAATCAGAGCATCTCTGACAACTCAGCTCATTCAGTCTTAGTGAGCTTGGCATACAGGCAGTGGCAAAAAAATTTTCAGTTCAGGAAAGGGACTGATGCTTGACTGCCAAGCTGGTTGGTATGGCTTTCCCTATAAGATGGAAATTTCTCTGTTATTTTTTCATATTAAAAACATTTCTTTTAGCTGTACATCTCAAACATCCCAATACTACCAGAGCAACACAACTGACGATTCCATGACAAGCTGTTAGTTAACAAAAATAATTTGAACATTACAAATAAGGTTTTTTAAATCTTGATAAAATGATTCACAATTTGACATACAAAGTAAAATGCTTTTGTTTGCCTCTTCAAAGGGAGCAAAAAAACTAAGCTGAGGTAGCAATTATTTGAGAATATGATGCCTGATCTTTTGACGCTTTTTCATTTAATTTGTCTTTATGGCTTTGTAGAAGATGTCTACTATCTATCATCTGGCTTAGGTGACTTTGGTTTCCCTGCACAACACATTCAAATTGTTTAAAAATGAAAAATTGTGAAAGACATTTACAGGCTTCATGATATGAACCTCACATATACAATGCTTCAGAAATCACAAATTCTGATTATTAATTTTGAACACCTGCTGTTACTACACTTTAAATACTTAAATGACATTTAAAGCAACTGTGTATTTTACAGCCATTTAAACATAGACACATAAACAGATATACCACAGAATTCACTGCTTCCACATAAATCATTATCATTATATAGTTGTTTTACAGTTTGTTCCATAAACACATATATCCTCTTAGTAGTATTATATAAGGTCAGTTTACTGCATTTTTATTAAATAATCTTTCTAGTTACATAGTATCATCAAGACCATTCTTCAAGTCTGCATTTTATGTGACAGTTTTGGGAGCACATGTCCCACTTCAATAAATCATATTTCTTTAACTGTCAGAGATAATAAAATTGTACATCAAATATGTCTTTGCTAAAGAAGTCTAGCTAGAAATTTAAGATAATGAATCATATTTGTCACTATTGAACTAAAACTGTTAATTAGGCTGAGTTCAAAGGAAAAGTAATTAAATAAAAATATATATATTCGATTTTATGAATTCTATAAAATTAATTCAGAAGAGCTTTTATGCCTCCTTTTAGGGCTATTATACTACTAAAAAGTAATTCACACTTTAAATGACAGATGCATAAATTTGACATTGAAAACATCAAATGCCATCAAACGTTTAAAATAATTATTTCAAGTCAGAAATTTGATTAATGGCATAAGAGCTAGAGGGCTAAACCCTGTTCCTGGTGTAAATTCTGTTACACATTTCATCCCTCTGTATATCAAAGGAGGTGTCAAGAGCCTGTTATTCCCCACTGGTGTGTCATAATTTTACAACAATCAGCTGTGTATACAACTGCTGAAAAATCTCATCTATTTCCTAATAAAAAGTTATTCCTTAAAGAGCTGCAAGCAAAAATATTGTTGCGAATGGAAAATATCTGAACATCCAAAGGCCCACACACTTAGCTGAAGGTTATTCTGATTTTACACAACACTCTTAACGTACTTTCAGATATTAAAGGCCACATTCAGAAGGTCTAGCTCCCACCTTGGGAATAACAAGGTGTTTTGGAAAATAAAAGCAAATCCAAGGGAAAAATAATCACCCTGCAAATTTCTTCAGCTTAAAGAATGAAATATATTTATGAAAGTTGTGTTCAAATTGTATTTCGTTAGCAAATCCATCAAAAAGCTTAGCTACCTCAGAGCAATGAGCAAATGCATTTTTTTTCCACTCTGGCTGAATTTCCATTTTCACAGAAAGCCATGAGGATTTGTCATATTGAGACATCCATCAGCAAAGGTGGCAGAAAATCTACACCTCACAATGTAATTTAGGCTGCAGCTATTTTGCAGCTTCAGTACCAATTTATGTCATAGTGCAGACACTCTTCCACTCAGTTCTTTTTCTGTGTGGATTACTGGAGGTACTTAACAGTTAGGCAGGATGAATCAGACACTTAAAATCTGCTAAAAGTTGTGTCTGTTTGCTTCAGTTCTAAGGTAACCAATCTGACAGCAGCAGGCTGCTTGCTGACTGACACCTTATCTCATGCTTTCTTTGGTTTATAACACCTGTGTAGTCACTTTTGTTTCAACCTAAGAAATCCACTACATAAAATCTTTAGGCTGTGGCTTGATAAGATTCTATAGCCTCTGTGTCACCAGATGCATCACAGAAGTCCTGTAGCAGCATGTCTTTATGCACAGCACTAGGAGTAGAAAACAACAGCTTGGCTCAGATATGCCTATCTGCATAAAGAAAGAGAATGTGTCTGATCCGGATCAGATCTGTCAGATTCAGTCAGAAAACTGATGTGTCAGAAAGAGTGTATCAGCTTACATAAATGCACACACACAAGCTGATGCCCTGCAAAACTTGCCCGTTTTGACTGGTAAGTTGATAGGTTTTTTGCATTACTTTTAGCATCTCTAGAAAACTTTTAAGATACACCACAAACAGTGTATCCACAGTAAAATTGTCTTGTTAACTAAAAATTTTATGTTTGGCTGCTCTCTGGAGTAGCCACTTTATGTCTTCAAATGTCAAATAAGTGGCTGCATTAAGAATCTAAAATATCTCCCTACACATTGAGGAGAGTATCCAGACTACTCTGATTAACCTCTAGAAGTGGGCAGTAAATTGCCTGTATAGAGGACACAGGCTTTAAGTTTGATGCCTAAAGTAAATGTCATGGTATACATTAGCATATATGTTTACAGACACATAATAATTAGTTAAATAGATAATTAGTTAAATTCTAAAGTCCTGCCAGTGGAAGGGCTACACAGCTCAACTTATCTGTACATGTGTAGTTCCATGGCATGAAGATAAAAGGTGAGAATCTGATTTGCCAAATGAGATGTGGCCTTCTGCGACCTTCAAAATCTGAAAGTCTCTTTTAGCTGGCTCTGCAGCAGGTTACCTAATACTGCAGGAAGGCTAGCTCAGTGCATAAAATCATGAAAAGCTGGAGAAATATAAAGCTGTTCATGAAGGACAAGAACAGAAGAGATCTCATCTATAATAAGTACACTTTCCTTCACATGTACACTACAATTTCCTTTACCTTGTATGTCCAGTTTCCCCTGAAGCTGGTGATACTGGCTAAATACTTGGCCCAGTTTTAATCAGTCATCACTTGGTTGTACTCTCCTGGAGTAAATTAAACTTATGTTTCAAGAAGGAAGGACCACAATAAGTTCAGAGCCATTCCAGTATCGTTATGCCTTTGGTTACATGGAATGTGAGGAATCCTCACTGTTCCCACTGCTATTCTGGTGATATCTATCTGTCCAGCCCAAGTACATGAACTCCTTTCCTCATTCCCATTGCTATTTCCACAGAGCTCTGATTCAGACTTTATGCCCCGTATCTTTGATTTTCAAGGCTGGATTCCAAAATTAAGGCTGCTAAGTTCATTATGAAAAATCTGACTTCAAACTTTCCTTCCAGGCTCAGAGGAAAGTGCAGTGTCTAAGGACACAGGAGAACAACATTCCATTAATGATTGGCATCAGAGCACAAATTCAGTGGGAAAGAAGCTTTGCTCTCAAAACCTAGATACTATGTTTATAATTACAGGTGATAAAAAAACATGTGAAATAAATAATTTACAATTCAAATAGTAATACATCTGCAATATATTAGAAATACAGTTTTAAAATTACTTCATATTCTTAATTAGTATAAAGTTTAATTTTATGCTTTGTATAGAAATGGTAGTTTTACTTGTTACTGCTGTCTCAGCAGAAGGAAACAGAAAAGTTCCTAAGTAGCTAAATAGCATTGGGAAATTAGAAAATACTGTATTTTGGGTTTTTTGGGTAATAGAAAAATAGCCTTTAAAAATAGATTGTTAAACACATGGGCTTGTAGTAAAGTGGAATTGTATATTATATACAGTAAGGCAGTATATCAACTATTGTCCTGATATTTTCTTCATGTTTGATTTGATTGGACTAGAATATGAATGGGATGTAAAATTTTCTGTCACACTGAAACAAAGCAAAAATATATTTAGGAGAATTTGTTATTTTACTGTAATTTGTTGAATATATTATTTTTTATATATGATTTGTCATATACAAGACCTCATTTTTTCTTAAGGATTGAGAAAAAATATAAATAAAATTTAATCAGTGTCAGAATGCATTCAGAAGAAAATACATTATAGATCAGAATGCTGCTGTGCAATGATTTATCTGATTTAGGAACTGCTCAGATCACTGTGGTCTACTGACTGACCCATAACAATTTTCATCTTTCTTGAATCTGCAGGATTCCCTCAGGTTTAATCAACTAATTGAAGATCTGCAGAGCTAAATAACCATTTCACAATGTATTTTTCACGGCAGATAATATCCATTTCCACATTTCACTTTGTTAGAAATGTGTTAATGATCCAAGGTTTACTTCCACGACTATTAACTCAACCCACACTATATTTTATTCTCTGTATAATACATATAGGAGGCTAGGTTTTTTTTAAGGACCTATTTGCTATGTGGTTTTGTTTTACTGTAAGTAACTACTAAGTATGTACTGTACTAGCTACTGGTTATTTAAAGGGTGGCATAAAGGAAGATGGGTCCATGTACTCTGATCCACTGGTCTCTCTTTTGCACTCGCTTGGAACTGTCAGACAGTAGCTCATATTTTTCTCAGCTTGACCTTGCTGAAGGTTCTGAGACATTTCTGTCACAGGTTCTTGAATTACAAATGTGTGCTGGATGCGTGAATCTGGCATTAATACTAGAATATTATGGTCCACAACTGTTGAGACCTTGGTATATTCTTTGCTGGTTCCTGGAAGAGTGTATTTTTCAGTCTTTCCACTATTTTCTTTATGTTTCAGTAATACTGCTGGCTCCTCATCTTGTCTGATTTTGTGAACTTCTACATAATCCATTAGTTTAGGATTCAGGAAAGGTGACTTGTCATTAGGTCTGTTTTGTTTGACCTGCGTTGTGGTTTGGTCAGTTTTGGAATGCAAATTCTCCACCTCTCTTTGCTTTTCGATGTCATTGTGGACAGTTTCAGTGATAGGATATTGTGACTGATGCTCTTCTTCATTTCCTACCAACAATACTGCAATGTTCACGTTTGTGGTACTCAGTGTTATCTTATGTGCATCTACAGTACTGTGGTAGGCAAACATAGGAGGCTGATTATCAGGTAACTGAGGTGCAAGACATGTGGACGATTTTGTACTCCTATTGTTAAAAAGGAGTGTTTTCTGTTCTGAGGCTATACACTGTGTTTCCCAGCTCCTTCTTCCTCCTTTATTTTCTTGAACATCTCTTACATCTTGTGTTTGAGGTGTTGATGGAAGAGTTCGGGACATCCTGCACCTCTCAGAAAGCAGAGAAGGGCTATCACAGCTCCCTCGGCCTGAGTCACTGTCTGTTTCCTTGGGTATCATTTTTGCATTTTTACTGGGATGACCATTGTCATGGCTTGGCATGAGTTGCTGTTCCTCACTGTCCTCTACCTCCAGATATTCTATCAGTAGTTCCTCACAGTCTGATGTTGGTGGGAAACCATGGCAACCAAGAGCACTCAATAATTCTTCAGATTTTCCTGTCTAAGGGCACAATAAAAAAGATACATTTTTTCACTACTAACTTTAGAGTTTATCTGACTAGAACAATTGTGAACAATCTACATATTTAATATACAAATACTTTAATAGTTATATCACTAGTCATAAACTGGGTTTCTACTGCTGCAGAAAATAGTGGAAGAACAGAAGAAAATTTCTTGACCTCCCTCAGTGTGGACACAAAATTCCAGAATTCATGTCTTTAAAATGGGAGGACTAAGGAGCTTCTGGCAGGTAGGGGCCTCATGGGTTTAGCAAGGAGGAAATGGAGGAGAATGAAAGAGCAGCCACGTCCTGTCTCCTCAGCATGGCAAGAGACTGTGGAGAGCAACTTCCATAAAAACTACTAGGAAGATCACCCAGGAATTGGCTCCTGTGGTGTCCCAGAGAACTGCTGTGGTCACAAACCGTGTTCTCAGATGCCCTCCTATTACTAGTGCAATACAAGACTCGGTCTCACACATACCCCCCACACGACCAACCTGGAAGCATCGCTTATTTTTAACACTGAAGCCTTATTATGGTACTTGTGTTTGCTAATACATAATTTGGAAAAGTAAGTAATGGTGAATTCTTTTGTTGTTATCAGTGGCACTCACCTCTAAGAGATGTGTATCTATTCCTTTTATCTTTGGTCCTGGAACTGGCGGTAGGATAAAAGCTATCATTCTAAAAAACCAGAACAAACACACAAGGTGTAAGTATGGGCACCATCTCTCTATTTGTCCTCCCATTTCCCTGACATGTGACTGACATTTTAAACACTTCTCCCATATCTCATACCTCCCTGTTGGACCTTTATTTCCTGTCTACCTCTCAAGCTTAAAAATCCAGTTACAGTTCATAAGTTACCCTTAGATATATTTATAAGAAAGAGAACAGTTACAAAAGTTACTCAGCTGGAAAAGTAACACTGCTAATGTCCTTTTATTGTCCTTTGTTCCTTAACCTCCAGTTCTCTAATAACACTGTAACTTCATCACTGGACAAGAAGCAGTTATGTGGGGCACAGTTCAGGAGGATTAGTGGGCCTGTACCTACATACTTGACTGTCAGCTGACTACTACTAAGCAAGATTTATGATGAATGATTTCTGATGGCTTTCCCATCAACAGTTTCTATCTCTTTCTTCTACTCAGCCAGTATTTTTTTGCAAGATTTGTACAAAAGTAATAATCTTTGCAACGTGTTTCTCTTTCAGATTTCATTGAAATTAGCCAGTGTTCTAATAAATTATTTGGGGAATTGACAGGTGGGTGGACAGAAGGACAACTAATTTCCTTTAGTTTCCTTTAGGAAATTAAGGCAAAACCAAAAGGTTTGTCTTCTACAGTATCAGGGGTGCTCCAAAGGATGTTTACAGAATACTTACATGGCTAACCAAGATGGTCAGATCTAATAGAGACATGTCTTTACCAACTGAGAATTTAGCCTGGTTTCCCTAAAGAACAGAAATACCTCTTTATCAGTTGCAAATTTAAAGTCAAATACCTGTAACTTATGGTTTGTAAGAGAACACAAAACCTATAGGAAATTGAATCAAATGTTAGAAGTCTGTTTTTGAAAAGTTTGCTGAGATTTTCAACTCCATGTAATTGTGAAATTGGTGACTTACCTGTACCCTTTCAAAATCATTGTCCAGCTCATGATTAAACATATAAGAGATGACAAGACACCAACGATGATCCACACAGCTATATCTTTTACTCTAACGTCTAAAAAACAGAGGAATTATTTAAGGACACACATCTAGCATATGCATAGTCAGCATTCAAAAAAAGTCTCAGATTACTTTTCTTTTAAAAATTGGCCTAAGCTGCAAAATTTGGTATTGAATCTAGAGGCCTCTACTAGCATAGACAGATCTCAGTAATCATTGTGATATCTGATTAATAAATATACTTTTTATTAATGGCACTGTGCAGGAAATAAACTCTTGGAAAAATAACACAAAAATGTATGAAGAGGGAAATTTTTTCACAGCCAGTTATATCAATTGCATTGAAATCCAATTATGCCAATACTGTAGTCATTTTATTATCAAATACATATCATACAATAAATTAAATGGTGGGTTAAATGATCTAGGACTAGATAATTTTTAAGGTTTTCTATTGTGACATGACACTTTTTAAATTGCGGTGTTTATTTCAAATTCATTCCAGATAGAGAGTAATGAAGAGCTGTTACTGTCTGAAGGCAGTCACTCTTTTTTGTCTGTGTCGGTTTTAATGCAGTTACTGGCATTCTTTTAATTAAAAACCACTGTCATGAGAACAAATGAGGCAATAAGCATAAAGGATATGTTTTAAACAAATAAATAAATTGATTTACCTTCTTAACTCCAAAAAGTAATGAAGGGGAAAGGTAACTGGATATTGTGCAGAGACGCTGAAAATTCAGTTACCTTAGCAATGATGTTCTTACCTGTTCTAGGGAAACTATGGGATGTCAATCTTCATGGGTGCCACAAACAGCTAACAAAAGTATTACATGAACTTCTGTGTAGTAACAGTTACTGAAGGGGTGCCTGGACACTCACCAGTAGGGATCTGAATATACTTTTCTGAGCTCCATTCACTCCATGACCCATGGTGGTCTGGTTTGCAGTGAATCTGTACAACGTACTTCTTTCCAGGATTTAAACTAAACATTTTATATTGTGTTTGCTGTCCAACAAAAATAGGCTGGAAAGTAAATAGAAATAATAAAATGCATATAAAATTGAGATATTTTTCTATGAAAATCACAGCTAGGTTTAAGTCTTCATAACCAAGTTGGGAATACAGAAGGCATCTGGATAGTTTCCTAATAACTCTTATGCAGGCATGGAATAACGATACATTTATTTTATTTTATTTTTGTAGTTCAGATTTCTAACATAATTCAGTGAGAATGAAATCTAGCTCTAAAACTACAAAACTACATAATTTAAACTAAAACTACAAAAACACATCATAACACATCGTAAGGCTGGCTCTACAAATACAAAAACACATCATAAGCATATGGCAAATAGGGAATAACTGTGGTAATGGTGGGAGCTTGTCCTGAGTTTGAGTGAGTGGTGGGGTTTTTGGTATCAGGGAAGGGGGCTATAGGGGTGGCCCCCTGTGAAAGGCTTCTCGAAGCTCCCCCAGCTCCATGTCAGTTCTAGCTCTGCACCAAAACTGAGCCAATCAGCTGCACCTCTGCGATAATGTATTTAAGAAGGGATGTGGTGAGGAGGAGTCAGACTTGTGAGGAGGAGTTGCGGCAGCCGTGTGAACACCAAGGTCAGTGGAGGAATGGAGGAAGAAAGGAGGGGGGAGGTGTGCTGGAACAGAGACCCCCCTGTATCCTGTGGTGAGACGGCAGGGCGGCCCCCCCTGCCACCCATGAAGGTCTACGGTGGAGCAGACATTGATTTATGGCCTGGGAGGGGCCTCTCATGGACAACCAAGGAGACTGTACCCAAAGAAGGTCGGGATCTTGTGGGAAGAAGCAGCTCTCACTGCTGTAATTCAGTGCTGGGAGGATTGCAGCATGCAGGGGTGTCCCACGCCGGAGCAGCTCAGGAAGGGCTGCAGCTGTGGGAGGGAATCCAGTTGGAGAATAGTTGGCGTCCCACACTGGAGCAGTGTGGGGAACGCTGCAGTCCATGGGAGGGACTCATCGGAGAAAGTTTGTGGAGGACTGTCTCCTGTGAGAGAGGAATCGTGCAGGAGCAGGGGGAAGAAGTTCCAGAAGCTCCCCCCACCAAAGATGGAGTAAGTGGAAGCATTGACTGCACCCCCCATTCCCTGCCCCTGCGCCACTGGGGGAGGAGGTAGAGATATCGGGAGCAGAGCTGAGCCCGGGAAGAAGGGAGGGGTGGGGGGAGGGTGATCTCAAGATGTGGCAATGCTTCTCACTGTTCTGCTCTGTTACGTGTTGTTGTCAGTGCCTGTAATAAACTGATATTCTTTTTTTCTTCCCATAATGAGTCTGCCCTTTGCCCATGACCATAACGGGTGATTTGCCTCTCCCTGTCCTATCTCAAATCCTAAGCCTGGATCATTTGTCCCTTCTCAGTGCTGGGAGGGAAGGGCGGCATGAGCGGCTGTGTGGAGCCCAAACCATGACAGAACTACAGTGGTGAAAGGAGGAGGAGGCAAGAAATAGAGATGGGGGAAGAAAATACAGAAAGAAAAGGAACGTGGAGTTGGTAGAACGGCGGAGAGTAGTAAAAAGTGGATCTTGCAATGGCTGGGGGGCTGGGAACTGCAGTGGCAGGGAGAAGGAAGGAGAAGATATAGTGATGGCTAGGAAGTATTGCAGCAGACAAGAAGGGGATGCACCCAAAATACGCCAAAATACTCCAAATCTGGCCTTTAATTTTCTGCCCAGTTGTTTGAGTTGCAAATCCTGGCTACAAACAATTATGTGACTATGTCAACTATCACCTAATGGCTATTTATACAAATTTAAATGATTTTACATAATATTATTCGGCTCTCTGTTACCTAAAAAGTGCTTAAGAACAAATTATCACAAAAGAAACCTGACTAAATGAGAACAAACAAAATGTAATGCAAATATGACTAATATATAATGGCCACAACTAAAAACAAATACTTTATCACCTGCTTCACACAACAGCATCTGAGATACCAGTATTCTCAGTAGGAAATCAGATCACACAAGCACTTTTGAAAAATGATGAATGATCAGTGTGCCTGCTTCATTACATTCAGGCATGGGACCAGACTGACAAAACTTAATTGATCAGAAAACATCATCTCATAAAAACTTGCAAGATACTTACCTCCCATTCCTCTCCTTCTTCAGGCTTTAGTCGTAACTCATATTCAAGGGTAAGCCATCCAGATCTGACATCAGCCAGTGGGGGTGGAGACCATGACAAGACCAGATATGGTTTTGTATTTATCGGCTTTTTTATTTCCAGAGTTACATTTACAGGAGGATCTGGCTGTACTGTTCAAATAAAAGAACTGACAATAAGAATCTTAATGATTTTTTCCTTGCATCTTAGGAAGAAATATAAAATGGTATGAGTGGTGAGTTGCCACCTCCATTGTGTCTAGTAATTTAGAACTGATGCTGGAATACAGAGATCAAGAGTTTCCTGATAAAGTAAGCATGGATTTATGAATTTGATGAAAAAAATGAAGAACAGTGAAAGTGTTGAGTTCATGTTGAGATTTGCCTTAATCATTTATCAACAGAAATAATTTTTTCTTACGTTACCACTTACTGTTGCTTTTCCCCACAACTATGTTTGAAAGTTAACATCTATAATGCTGTGTTATGAAAGTTGTGTTTTACCACAACTTAGCAAAGTTGGCATATATATTTAGTAATGCTGAAAACATGGATGTAGTGATGAAACTTGCTCCCCCCCCATCTTTTACATTCAGAAAACAACAGCATGATCCCTACATTCATACATAAGGATATTTAAAAATAAAACAAACCAGTAATATTAAAGCCCTGTCTATATCTCATAAATAAACCAAAATGAAACATAGGTTTCTGCTACAGTCAGGCTTGCAGCTTTCTCAGTTCAGGTGCAGAGCTTCTGCATATCCTCAATGTATTTTACCACTGTCTGATGCAACGCTTCATCAAGTAAGTAGTCAGGGCATGGAGTTAAAAAGTAAAGCCTTTTCTCCAGCAGTCCTCTTCCAGTTCCCAGACTCTTGCCAGACAGGTACTTGATAACAAAATGGTTATCAATGATGATGTTCTGTTCCCTTAGAAAAAACCCTAAATACTTGTCCACAGTCACTCTGTGGAAAAAGTCTGAGAAAATAAATTATCAGTATACTGCTATAAAAAGCAGTAATTCAGCTTCTTTTTAATTTGGAAACCACTTTTAGGTAATCAAATGTAAATATTATTTGTTAAAAGATCAGTTTGTTTTCAGTTGCTGGCAGAGTGGAAAATTATTTTAGCTGGATCGTATTTCTCAGAGCTTGACTGAAAGAAATAGGGAAAACCACTAAATGGTTATCTGAATGCAGTTTTAAAGCTTTTAGCATTTTTAGACTTCCTTTAGAAAAGATCTTATTTGTCCTTACAAGTTTTTAATTTTTATATAATACTATGTATGAGAAGAGCTGGAATTAAAATTCTGTGCCAAACCCCGTAATTTTGAATTATTTGGTTCCACAGAAAATACCTTTTCTCTCTTACCTATGTAAGTCACATCCACATAATGAGGATCAGAGACATTACTTCCCATTTCATTAGTTGCCCTTACAGTAATATTGTATATGGTCCAGAAAGAGGTGTGCTTTTTGTTAAAGTAGCATGAATTGGGGCCCGCAGTTCTGTAATCTGGACATTCATAAACTTTTTCTTCTCTGAAAGTAAAGAATCACAGTGATTAGGTTACACAGTCTAAAACACCTGACTGATTACTAGTAGCTCAGCATTATTTAGGGCTGAATCAGATTTTTCATACCTGACAATGTGAAGAAAATCAGAAAACTGCTTTCAGACTAAAGAGTCGGTGGACAATTCCAGAGACTATAGCAAGTATTTTTTTCCCCAAAATAAAGACTACAAAGCCTGAAGAATTTAGGCTGTTGTAGATGCAGCAGTGGGCTAGTAGAGCGCAGCTCTTACTTTTCTGAATGCCATTGTCCACTGCATAGCTCTTACAGGTTCCAGACAGCCAGTAGAAGTGACTGCTAAAGTCTTCTAATCCATCTATTAAAAACTGAGTATTTCCAGTGTTCATTTCACACTCAAATGAATTCTGCACATTACATTAATATGCTTCAGAATCTATTTTGGTCTTTCATCAACCATTCCTCAAAAAAATCTACTTTGTACCAAATCCATTCCCAAGCTTCCCAAAGGGAGCAAGGATAGGAGAGAAAGTTGAGTATGTAATATTTGTTTCCATGCTCCTCTGAGATGCACAATAACCAAAGAGAAAGGTGTGGATGTGGACCTCACAGTCTGCCCTGGCTGGCTGGACCAGTTTCTGTCTTTTTCAACTAAGACCTGGTTCTCAGCTGATAAGTACAGAGTTTAGCACCCAGTTAGGTCAGTGCAAGGCTGAGCAGTGCTGGGTGAACCAAAAACAGTTTACAGGACCCAAACAAAATATTGACTAATCCTTTAAAATGGATGTATAGCACTTGATCTAAGTTCCAAGACCAAGATTACTGAAAAAGCCAGGAGGCATTCACGGCCCATGAATACTTGTGCAAAATAAGCATTATCAGAAGATGAAAACTGTAGTATCTTGTCATTTTGGAAAACTTTATTTCTGGGGCTGTGTGGCAGAAGAGCTACAGGAATGTGCATTTGTATTGCATACTATTATTCAGTTGCTGTGCCATGTCAACTTTCAAGGGAGTCTATCTTTCATGACAGAAGAATTCACAGAAATTTTGGAAACATTTCATTATGAAGAGATCCTATTTCAACCTTGAATATGTTGCTGCTATTGCTATTCCACAATACGTCACTTGGACAAAACCATGTGTTATGGAAAATGGCATCTCCAAAATGCAAAACCAATCAGGATTGATTTTCCAGGTCCTCTCAATAAAACACTGAATAATTATATACAGCTTATTACCCTTCTTTGCTGTAAAGCAAAGTGTAGTTAGTAGGATGTCCTCCGTCTGAACCAGGTTTCCACCAACAAGTAAAAGTTTCCTTTTCTGGAGAACGGCATTTTATTATTGTAGGTTTTTCAGGAGGTGACTCTCCTGTAGGAGATTCAATAAATTAATTGGTAAGTTTAATGCATTAGGCCAACCCTGTATTCATAAAACAATGTCAAGCAGAGCACAGGAAAATAACTTTTTTTTCTAGAAGGAAAGAAAAATTTTGCTTCATATTAGCATAGGAAAGGAAGGATGGTTCAGTGGTTAGGGCAGCAGCCTGATACTTTGACCTGGATTCAAAATCCTTTCCCTAAGGAACTATGTTTTAGTTTTCTGGCTGTGGCTCCTCTCTGCCCCCAAATCTGATAAGGGGCGCTCAAATACTGCCATAATTTCTATAAAATTATTTAAAATACACTCTGCTACCTAATCTATTTACTACAGAAACCACTTTTTCTTAAATGTTTTAAGATGCTTTTAGTTGTTTAAAAAATATGCTGCCATTTGTTTTGGCTTTTACAGGAAAAAAATTAAGAATATTTGCCCATTTTGCTTATGTCTTTGCCAGTAATCCTCTTCTGAAGAGAGAAGTGATGTTATGCTCTGTACTTAGGCTACTTGCCTGATTGCTGCCAAGCAATTTATAATTATTTTGATTCCTGATGATGTTTTTACAGACTGAAGCAAAGCACTTAGAGTAGGGCAAAGGATAATTCTTAAATTTTGAATAGGATGATGCCCGTCAAAACCCTGATGAGATTGAAACTTTTACAGTTATGTATTTGTGGCAAAATATGGTCCTATCACATTAATAATATGTATTTTCTACTATTTAGAGTAGGGACATCGATTTTCAAAATTTCTAATTGCCTAAGGCAGATCTGAAAATGGGACATTTATAAAATATCTATTAACAGTACTTCAGCAATCTCCGTATCAAATAATGAATAATACAATTAGCAACAGAAGAAGATTTGAGACAACCTGGCTAAAGTGTCTGACAACAGGACACCATGACATGTATATTTAATATGTCCACTCAAACCCAACAAAACACAGATAATTATTTCCATGTGGTAGTAGCTGCAAGTGTTATGCTCTGTTAGACATGGCAGTGCTTTCAGTTCAGTTACTAATGAACAAATAAATGATTTTTATACAAGTGCCATTACCTGTTATCTGTAGCTATACATGAAATCAACATGATTTTTAAACAGAAGGACAGGAACAATAAATTACTTAGGCACACCTGTATAAGAAGTGTCTTCCTAGGAAATCCCTGCTGTCATAGCCAGCAGAGGATCCTGAGTGGATCACTAAGACTAAATACACAATTACACACAAAGTTCAGTGAGATGCACTAAGCTGTTCCTCCAGCACTATAAAGTATCTGTGTGAGGAACTGTGTGAGGGCTGCAATTTAAGCACTTTTCATGACACAGAACTGGCTAGAATTTAAAAGCAATTAACAGACCAGCAATTATCCACTCACCACTGGGGATCTGAATGTGTCTTTTGGAGCTCCACTCACTCCACTCTCCAAAGTCTAACATGCAACGGACCTGAACAATGTACTTCATCCCAGCTTGTAACCTAATCACTTTGCACTGTGTCTGCATTCCAACAGATATTGTCTGGAAAAGAAAATGGACTGGAAAAATAATAAAGAATTGGTACACTTTAACAAATACACCATAAAGGAGTAGGCTTGTGTCACCAACTTCTGAAAGGCAAGGGTTTCAGTCGGGTATTTTATAAGATGTGAATTACAAAAAAGAAAAGGTAGTGATTTAACAGAAAAACTAATTTCAGTGACACTGAGATTCTAACACTTGAGTACATATGTAATTGCAGACTTCCTATAAGTTAATACTCCATCAGATCCACCATGCAAAGAACACTACAGGTAATACAACTCACAGATAAACCCTCTGTGTTATGCTTCTTAGTGGTTAGTTTTAGTGCTTAATAAGAAGTGCCTTCCTCAGACCCTTTGAATCTCTCTTCAGAAGTCTTTCAAAATACACAGTTTTCTCCATCATAAAGGCATCAATAATTTAGGGAGCATTGAGATCATCTGACTATGACTTTAAGAATGATATTTTATCCTCATATCTCAGTTGTGGCCCACTCTGAGCAAGATGGCAACAGCTGAGAATGTCAGTGGAAATAGTGTATGTGAGTAGGACACCACAAACTCTCTGAGAGGGGGGTTGCCCTCAAACTGATCATGTTGAAGAGGATGATGATGATGACTCTGAGCCAAATTAAATAGTAGTTAGGGAGTAACTGAGAGACTTCTGAAACAAGCTTGAAAAGCAGTAACAAAGCAGCATGTTAATATGTAATAGTGGGGGGAGACTGGAAGCTTCAGCAATAGCAGAAGTTTAGTTTGATGCCATCAGAAGCTGCTCTGCTAGCATCATGACCTCTGCCTGGGCCAGAGCAGCCTCGTCCTCTGATGCTGTGCGTAGCTGCACTCCAGTATGGGCTGCAGCAGGCAGGGACCCACACCTGGGTGTGTGCATGTGACCATGTGGGTACTTTCTCACTGATGTGTGTCTTAGTAGACTGTAAGACGAGACGTGGGTTCACATTAACTTAAAACATCCATGTCCCCTGCAGAAGTGGGTATAAATAGGGGAGTTTGTACTCCCAAGGGGGTGAGGTGTGCTTGTAACCTAACATTCCTGGGAGGGGGGAATTTCTGTATATAGCATATTTCTGGGACTAGTTACAGAAGTGTATTTATAAATGTAGGTGTCTATTAACATTTTGAAGTGCCCAGTATTGTGATTTATCAGTTGTGCTGCTGATACTGACCTTGACTGCAGAGTTAACTGTTTGCTTGTTAATTACACCTTAATGAAACAATAAACTGCTTTGATCCTGATTTGGTTTAAACTATATGAACTCAGCAGTCTGTCACTGTGACACTTGGGAACAGACACATTTATAAAAATTACGATTAAATATTTTATCAGTGGACTAAATAGGTTTTTTTAGTACATGACATTAGGACAATTATACAAATACATTGAATTTCACTATCTCTACAAACCACTGCAGTATTTTCCTTTCTTTAGTAAATTTTTTAATATTAATTTTTCTATCCTTACAGAAACTATAATTTTTATAATAGCAGTTAAATTCAGACAAGAGAACTCACTGAAAAGAGCATTTATACAATAAATGTATTTTTCCATTACCTCCCACTCTTCCTTTTCCTCAGGTTTCAGTCGTAGCTCATAGTGATATACATGTGAATTAGAGCTGACATCGGCTAATGTAGGTGGAGACCATTTTGCCCAAAGGTACATTATGCTAGCAGATGTTTTTGTCTCTAGAGAGAGGTTCACAGGAGCATCTGGCTGAACTGTATAAATGAAAAGTTTGCCATTAATGATTTAATTTTCTCACAGAAAAGGCACCTCCTTTCTGATTTTGTATCTAATCACATTAATTTCAGATCATTCAGCACTTCTGTCAGGTAAAAGTACAATAACCTTTTTATTCCTTTCTCCCTAATAACGTTTAACTGCCTACTGATTTACCCCAGTATCAGCAAATCTTAGACTTTACTGTGAATTAGTCAGGCTAAGGTAATACAAATCATAATTTCATCAGGCCACTCTTGCAAAATTAAAATGCCAGATATTTCATAGCTAAAAAGACTAAGTACATTTATCATTACAATGTGTAGGTTATGTATATGCAGAAAACAGAATGGAGTTAGGAATATGAAATACTACAAAAATCCCACTGAGTGCTTAGGCAGTTATTTTTACCCTTCTGAGACTGTAATGTCAGCAGCCAGAACATGTTTACATTTGGAAAATTTAGATATTTTAACCTCATTTGAAAGTTTTATAATCTGCAGTGCTAGGAACCTACTGAACTGTCATTGAGTCTGAAATACTGGAGATAACTAGACACTGGAACGAATTTTTTAGCTGACATTAAAATGACAGTAAAATACATAGTTATTTAGTTTTTAAGTGAAATGCAGTTTTCATGTAAATTAAAGATGTCTATTTTAGATCATCTGTAGATAAACAGTTCTCCATAGCAAGTTTCACATCATGAGGAAACAAATCTTTCACCACTACTTGTTCTGGGATTAGAACCCACATACGTCTCCAACTAGTTTGTTTTGCATTTCATTCTTTCCTTTCCTTTTTACCTATGGAGGTCACATCCACATACTGAGGATCTGAGCTGTTACTTCCAGCCTCATTCGTTGCCATTACAGTGATATTATAGGTTGTCCAGAGATTAGTGTGGTTTTTATCAAAGTAGCAGGAATTGGGACCCGACGTTCGGTAGTCTGGACATTCGTAGATTTTTTCTTCACTGAAATAAAATAATTTAAAAAGTTAAAAATTTAGGAAATGAAGCAAAGCAGATAATACTCTAGTAATGGCTTAGGTTCAGCAGAGAAATTTTAAATGTTTAACTGTAAGTCTATATATAATCCCACATCTGGGAAACGTTTTGGTCAGTGTCAAATGCCATTACCATAAATGCTTCATTGCTATTTTTACTGCAGTTGTTCAGGATGAACACTTTTAACCCCTTTTTTATACATAGGAATATGTCAACAAAAGAATGGAAAGAGAATTTTCCAGAGACAGCACAAGGCAATTTTAAAAAATGCTTAAAAGCAAGTTAAAAGACAAATTAAACACATTTACTTTGATTAAAAAAGAAAAGTTGCTAAATATCTTCTTTACCTATTTCCCCTGAAAAAGTAACCTGATAGGCCCAACGACAGAGGAGTTTTTTATTAATTATTTTGGTTTTTGCAAGATGTTAATTTATCTGCTTTTTAACATTACCATCATCACAATTGTCTCAACAAAAAAGTATTTGATTAATTCATGATGTCTTACTATTAACTTTATATGTGTCTTTGGCTTTTTTGGGAGAGGGATTGTTTTGTACTCAGTTAAAGCTGAACTGGGTGATGTACGCAGAGACTGTCCCAGGTGTGAAGAATGGCATGAACACAAAGCACCATCTGAGATGGCTCAAGAATGCACTTTAATCCCACTGCTATGCTCTACGCACCGCTAATAACAAGAACTCTTAGTTTCCAGACAGTTTTGTCACAGTTCACAAAGAAAAGATGGAAGTAAGGGGACTGTACCTGAAGGACAATGAGCTAAGAAAGGCAACCCTGGCCCAGATCTGGAGTGCTTGGCAGTGCAACAGATCTAATGAAATGTACAAGCATTCCTGTCTATTCCTAAACAAGACTTTCTGGGCTGTTATAGGTATGTTCATTAAAATTTCTGTTTTGACTGAGATTGAAACATCTGTATGTCCATAAAATAAAAGATCTCAGATCATTGTTGAGTGTGGTAGCTTCATTAAAGACTGTGTCTTTCTTCGTCAATTAGTACCAAATGATTTGGAGTTTATTTAATTGAAGCAGGAAAGTCTAAGGCTTTAGCTTACCCATTCTGAACCTCACTGGATTTATTCAAAGAAATTTAATCTCTGAGCCTCCCTGCTTACTTGGCCGTGTTCTGAGACATCTTGTTTTCAATAAGGAAGAACAGTTATACAAAGAAACACAGGTGAAGCAAAATAGCTAAACATATACGCATTTTATTGTTAAACAGGATGAGGGAGTCACAGGCTTTATCAAAACAGTAACTTTGACATGCAATACCCACATCTGATTGTACTTCATTTTGGGAACCACAACCAACCACAAGGTTGGCAGCAAATCCAGAAGGGGAAGCAAAGACTCTCTATCGATTTTCTCTGGACGGGGGTTTGCTGTGCACTCACGGACAAGCGCCTCAGCAAGGCCCTGAGGGCAGAACCAGCCCTCACTGCCCCTGCCCAGCCTCCCCAGGGTCTCCCCAACCACTGTCTGGGGTCCCAGGTTCCCATTTCTGCCCACCACATCAGGGCCGGTCCCCATCTCCCCACAGCCCTGCCCTTCCCAGCCATGGGCTGCCCCCAGGCCAGCCCCAACCCATAGGCTGATGTCCTGGCCCAGCCTGGGCTCAGCCTGTCTCTGTCCCCACGGAGGTGCTCAACGGCCAGGGCTGGGTTGCCAGTAGCCTGCCCTGCTCCATGGATGGGGGGGTGGGATGGGCCCTGTTGCCCCAGGGGAGCCCACATGGCCCTGTGGTGCCTTGATGCTCCCCTCCTCAGAGAAGCATGCTATTCAGCTAAAAGCCGTGTGCCTCCTGAGAAGATGGACAAACTACACCTTTCCCAGCAGTGGGGTTTTAAGTCAGACAAGTTTCCGTAGGGACAAGCTGAAGATTTGGGCTTGGTAGTAGTCATGTTTTCTTCCAACAAGGGAAAGCCATTCATCTCATGTAGCCCCTGTTGGTTATCTGGGGTTTAACATGGATTCATAGAAACATCTTTATAAATTGATGCTATCATTCCCTCGTTCTGTCATAATCATCACTTGATCACTTACAGAATACATATGCACCACTTGTTACCTGTCCTTGCTGTAGAACAGGGTGTAACTGGTAGGAAGTCCTCCATCTGAGCCAGGCTTCCACCAACAAGAAAAGGTTTCTTTTTCTAGGGAACGGCATCTTACTATCTTAGGTTTTCCTGGGTATGATTGACCTAGGGAAGTACAGAAATCCAGCTAGTTATATTAGAGCTGGACGATGATTTTGTGGTTATTGTTGAATGATAAAGTCAGCAAGGAATACTTTTTTTGAGGACAATAAAATGATTTAAAACTATGAACTGAATTTGGCAAAGAAATCTGCTGGGAAAAGGGTCAAAACTTTCAGAAAAGTAAATATACTTTACCTCAAGCTTCTAAAATAGCTACTAGAATTTTTTTACTTCTCTTTTTCAAATGAAAATTTCATTTTTACCTAAGCTTAAAAATGTAGAGTTATCCCCAAATTAAACTTAAAAAGCTTGGAAGTAAATGTGTGACCTTTTGTTTTTTCCTAAAATACCACGGATTTTATCTTCAGGTCAACTTAAAATTCATTTTCACCTTCAGCTTTGCAAAAGAAGAAAAATTCCACTATTTGCACATACTTAGGGTAAATTACAGGTAACATAGATATTAAAAAGAAGGAATCAATTGGCAGCTTGAATATTTTGTGTTTTGACAACCTGTATGTATTCATTAATTATCTGAGTATTCCCTAGTAATCCAAATATATTAAAGAATATTTCCTGTTAAGACTACTTGTCATTAACTTCTATCAAGAACATAAGCCATAAATTTACATACATTTTGTCATGAAAAGGATGTGGCTTTTCAACCTAAGCTTACCTGTATTTCACTGAATTTCCATACCATTTTCTCTAATAGTGTTATTATTAATATGATGCTAATTCCCAAGGTGACAAGCTTTGAGTGAGTGTGGGTATGAAGTAAGTGCCTTTCATCATAGCCACCACATAACCATTAAATTAATATTATACAAAGAAAAAAGGACTCAAGCCATTTTCAAAACCTCCATACAAAACTTCAGAAGAAAGTAATTTAAATATGTACAGGCCCCAGTGGTGGTCAGGACAGATCAGGTAAAGCCTCAGACTTTTCTAAAGAAAGTGTTTTAAGGAAAAGCAAGTGTTTCAGGAAGTGTCATTCTTACCACTCAGACCCACTGCAGTGAAAGCAAGGAGCAAAATAATTTGGACTGATGATGTCAATTTCTGCTTCATGATGTTTGCTTCTCCTCAGGCGGAAATATCAGATCAAGGGCTCACTGAAAAATACGCCATCATGCAATAGTCAATAATAGCACTTAACATGTAATACATATCACATGGCTTGATCGAAGTCCTTTTTGAACTGCAGCTAATTGATTCTTGGTATTTCTCGAAAAGGTGTGGCAACATCTACAGTTCCACTCCAGAAGTAGAAAACATGAATCACAGAGTAGCAAGTAGGTCTTCCTGAAGGTCTTTGAATGGTTAGCAGTGCTGGGATTGTAATTCCAAACATTAACAAATCTTGCATACTTATTTGGCATCTTGGGATACTGGGTGCTTTTCCGAAAGCTCTGAATTTTAGACTTATTTGCCTGAGAAATCAGCCTTTTAGTATACAAAAAATATACTTTTCTACCTGTTGATATGAAGAAGAGCTCAATGTATTTGAGCTCTGGAAGTCCTGAAAACAGCAGGCAAATGGAAAATATCCAAAATTTATTTAGAAGTTTATGATTTTTAAGCAAGTCTCATGACTTCTGAGTATTTGAGACTGGCAATGTTGAATTCAGGATCACCTGAGCTGAAGAATGCTACTCTTTCTGTTCATTTCAACTCATTTTTTACTGCACTTGATTTTGCATTAAAGTAGAAATACCAAGATCAGAGAAAAGAAACCAAAGAAAAAGTAGCGTAACTTCACAGCTAATTTATCAGGTGAAAATGCACAATGGGATGCAATTATCCCTCCTTCTTCAGCCTTTAAAGGCCAGAGGCAATGTTGGCTGCAATACAGAGGTGCAAAGGGGAAGTCACCAGCTGTGAAGACCCAGGTCTTGCAGTGGGCTGACACCACTAGATGTCCTCAGAAACCAGGTCACAGCTCAGGGTGATCAGGAGTCCCTGTTGCTGTTAAATCTGTTTGCTTAGCCTGAAGAAAAGTCGGAATTTCTTAAAGCAAACCTCCTGTTTCTCCCACTAATATGCTTCGTGCTTGGAGATGGTGACTGGAGTCGGCTATTAGATTCTCAGTATCCAACCTCACTCTTTGAAACTAAAGAAGAAGAATTTACTAACTAACTAGAATACTCCTTACCTCAGCTTTCCACTCCTACCAAGCACATCTAACAGGTATTTGCATGCTTGAAACCCATTCAGTGTAGCACAGCGTGGGAACAAGCTGTCTCTTTGCTGAGGAAAAATTCTTTGTGGTTTATCAGATGACTCAATTTTCATTATGCAATTCATTTTCTATATCAAGAAACTATAATCTGTCAGCATACAAATGTTTCTCAAGCCCAAAGGCAAATGAAGTATCAGTTAATTTAACTGAGTCTAAAACATGTTTACTGTGGACAACGTGGAGGAGAACAACAGTTGTCTACATTTCCACATACAGCTTCTGAATATCCAGGCATGTTTCATGCATGTAACCGAGCTACAGGCTGCAAAATCACATCTGAGTTAGTTTTAAAATCACTTACAGCAATACACAGTCAGTGGAGAGCAAACCATTTAAACATAAATTACAGTTTTGTGTAAGCACATGCAAATTTTATGACTGTAAACAAATGCCAGGCACAAACATTAGTGCTTAACTTCGGAAATGAGCTGAAAACTCGGCATTATATAATGTGGAGCACAAACCATTGAGCTCATGCAAGACAAGGCACATTTCTCTCAAGGTGAAGGTAAAATAATGAACTATAAAGAGTAACTATTTCATGTACATATTATACCACTTACAATATTTTATTATTTCTAAAAATAGTTGGAACGTTTGAAAAATGTAGACCTTTCAAACTGAGATTCATACTGTGCTTCCCTATAGGGAACTGGTACTTTTTTTTTTTTTTTTTTTTTTTTACAAATATATCTTTGCAGTGTATAAGAACTGACAGATAAGAGAGATTTATTACAGTGATTAAAAGGCTAAAATTTGTCAATATGACAGAGAGGCATCATCAAGAAAGAGCTGTATTAGAGCACTCTGCAAGGAAAACAGGATAGTTTTGGGAACTGAAGACCTAAAGAACCAAATTAATAGTAATAGGAAGAAATTAATTAATTTAAAACCAAGTATTTTTCCTTGGGAGCATTTTTTTTTTAAAAATGATGGTGAACCACTGCTATAATGTGGCTGTGAAAAAGAACCAGAGAGATATAGGGGAGGAATATGGATCTATTAGTGCCACAGGCTAAACTCTATGTACAGTTCTGGTCACATATACTTGGGAAAAAACCCTCAGGTTAATCTATTTAGAACAGATTTCTAACAGAGCTAA